CCGTTATGGAAGAGAGTCCACTATAACAGGATTTTATTGTAATATATTAACAAATGTCGGGCATAGTAGAGCAGCAGGTCACGCTGCCTCGTTACTCATCAAAGGTCATGGGTTCGAGCCTTCGAGGCTGGAAGGTGCGTTTCAGGTACATATAGCCTTTATATAAAATTATATTATGAAACGATACTACATTAATTGCATTAAAAAGTTGTTCAGGTATTAAGTTGACACTGACAGAACCTTTGTTAAAATGTAACCCGTGGAAATAACATTCAATTAACAGCACAGTAAGAATGTTCTCTGCCACCTTTGAAAAGACCTTCATGTAACATTGGCTGAAGTTTGGGAATGTTCCCTGTTAGCTGGGTCAAAAGCTACTCAGCAGATAAGCCAGTCCAAGGGCATAGTAAGAAATGAATGGATAGGGAGTCTTTACTAGGGCGGCCGATGGCAAGCTTATGTATAATATAAAAAGCTATTTGTCTCCTATTTGGCCAATAAATACACATTTATTTTGAGGGGTTAAAACATTTTTAGGGGCTAAAGCCCCCCTTAAAACATGCCTAATGACACCCCTGATCCAGTCTGTGGGCTTACAGAATTCATCCATTCTATAATGGCTCAGTCAGCTCGGACCCCACCACACGAAGCAGGAAACACCTAGATGCCAGTCCGTCATGGGGCTCAAACTTACAGCAGAGGTTACACGCTGCGTGCATACACATGATTTTGGACACACATAAGGCCCATCTGTCATGGAATAGTTTATTATGTTTATGTTGACTTTCTATAACCAATTAAGTCGCCTTACTGCTGTAAATATCAGCTACAGATGCTTTATTGGTGGGTAATGCTGTGGAGTTTCCTTGTGCTACCCAAAATGCTCTGCATTTGCTCCCTCCTCCTTTGGAATATACCCATAATTCTTTAAAGACGTTAAGTACTAAATATAATGCTGAAGGTAGTTTGGATGAAAATACTGTATTGTGCCAAGTATCAGTCAAAGAACACAATTAAAATCTGGGTAGTAAGTGTATATTTGCTCAGAAATTAAACACAATTTAATATTAGAACATATGCAAATTAACAGTAGCACAATTAACAACTAACAAGAGTTTACTCTTTAGTCAAAAAAAGTTACTGATATCTTAGGGGCACCCCAGTCATTCCATGTATTAGTTCAATTTCACCAGCTCAATTAATAATTTATTTAATTAAATGACTCAATGAGGTATTGATAATCCTTGGTGTATTTCAGCTAACAAACACATTGCTGTATTGGGTGGTCATTGCAAATACTGGGGTGACTTTTGGGGAAGTTTTGAAATGGCTTTGACAGACGTGTAAAACAATCATAGTTTTACAGCAACATGATGACGATTTCGACATCATATTATTTTCACTGCTTAGGAGTACTGGGGGACACTGGAGTGCATTCAGTGTGGGCCAGAGGCAGGAATGTATCATACAATCAACCCCACTGCTGTACACCTTTGGACCTTAAGAAAGCAGTGGATGGCTTCTTCACTCCTTAACCCTTGATTTATTGAGTTTATTTTCTTAGCTGCTCATAATCTTTATAACTTTACACTGTTGGGGCAGATTAGTACGTTCTTTGCTCAATACTTATATCAGTTTTCTGGCACAAAATGCAGTTGATTTCGGTTCACAAACACATACCTATTGAGCTGAGCCCATCGAGCAGGGCTCAACATTGTTCTTAATGGTCTGAGTACATCTCCCTTGGTTTGGAGCGCTCCTTCAGCATCCTGCCCGGCCAGATTCATTTTAACAGCCCAGAGGATAATGAATCACTTTGGGTCCTTGATTTTTTTCCCATCTCCAGTAGCTATTAGCCAAATGACTCACAGTTCCTCAAAGCCAAGGAGAACTGAGGGAATAAGTTTGGCCACATTTCACAGGTATAAACAGCCTGGTCCATGAATAAGGCGCATGCATACTGTAGCACTGCCCGCGTCACTGTGCTCACTGTGTTACCACAGCCACAGAGTCACAGCCAGTTCCAGGACATGTTGGATATTTACTCTTTCTGTAATGTCACTGGCTACTAGGACCGATAGGTTTTATAACGCGACTTGACACTGTGTGGGTTTTTAGGCTTCTTGCCATTTGCCCTGTTGTACAGATTAATTTAACGTCAAATATGTGAAGGAGGAGCCCTGGTCATCCAGTAAGACTGCGCTCACAGCAGAAATTTTTATTGAAGTGACCTGGGGCAAGATTAATGCAAGAGAGTGAGACAAGTTTCTATTTTATTATTTCTCTAAATAAAAGCCTTTGAAACGCTGTGAGCACAGTGTGGTAAAATGTGAGCAAAGCTCACTACATATAGAACTACTGTAACATAATTTCTGTGATGACAGGTCCATGTGACAGTATATGATGTAGCAGAGAGTTCTGCATTTTGGGCTGCACACGTCGAGTCTCTCCTTGTTAGAACGCAGTGCAGGATGCACCACTTATTACTGGCAGCATGCTGTGCTACTACAGCCTGACGCTGGGCCATTGCTGCCAGGGTTGCATTCTGCTGCGTGTGCAGCAGGGGTACCCTCTGCACTGCAAACACTGTCAAATGGTCAGTGAACACTGTAGTCTTTGCATTACACACTGCAGTTACGCATATTCCACTGCACACCCCCAGAACCATGCCAGACGATGAAGCATTCACCTTTCTTGTGACATCGAGTAACACACTTGATTCAGGAAAGTCTCAGAGTGCCCCTAAAAGAAAATTACCCAGCTTCCATCCCCCCAGTACCAGTAAACCACAAAAAACTGAACTGATCACCAACAGCCACATTATATTTATGAAGTTGGACCCTGCATATAGATAGATAGATAGATAGATAGATAGATAGATAGAAAATGTCTTAATGCTGTAAAATGGTAGATAAGGGCTATACTGAAGCTCTGATTTCTGTTGAATCGTTTTTAAAATTGCTTTCCTCGTGTTGCAAATCGAGGGATGCTGGAAGTGTGGACTGGCTGTGATTGGCTGCTGTAGGTCTTCTGTGGGAGCCTCACCGCATAGCAACAAGCCCCCCCCCCCCCCCACCACCACACAGTGCCCCAATCACTGTACTCCTCCAGCAACCATGTCCTCCACCTAACAACCCCCATCCATCCGTACTGTTCTACCCAGCAACCCCCCCCCCCACACACACACACACACACACACACACACATACACACAGATTCTCCACACCGAATTGTGATACTGTGCCTCTGAGGAGCTGTATCCATGACAACAGCAAGCTGACCGCTGCATCGCCTCTCTGGCTGACCTGGATTCTGTGCTTATGGTTACTGGGGCAGACTCATGCTCCGGATACCTAGGGTGGTGTTTGTGGGCCCTCCCCCGCCTTGAATGGGGAGGACATATCTGCCCACAAGCAGTCATTTCCACATTCTCGGGTGGCCCCCGCTGCCTTTAAAAGGCCCTGACTTGGCAGAACTGTGGCTGAGGTATTTGGCCACATCTGAATTTGCACGTATTTTTGTCCCTTCCTGCATGCCATATTGACGTAGCTGTAGGATGATGGTGCTGCATCTGTCTCCTGGGTGGGGTGGCACTGGTAGGTCGACACTGCAGTGAAACTGCTTTACTGGCCTCAGTGGACGCACTGGAGTGAGTCGCAGAGGAGTGTTTCCCAAACCCTGTGCGGTAAAAACTTGCTTATCTCACAGTGTACAGTAGTAAAAATAAATCACAGAGGTTTGCAGATGCATGTAAAATGGCAATTCATGCTGTACAAAGCAAATCTCTCATTTAGGCTTCAGCAGGATGTGCGTAATACCCATAAATACCCTGAAAAGTTATGAATAGCTATATTTCCAAAATATAAAAAAAAATGCATGCTTTAACTTAGCTAAAATCTGAATGAGGCTAGATGAGGCAGCATTTTCAGGGTATTGGTAAAATCGTGTAATTTTTATCAAAACAGATAAGCCAGGGTGTGTAATATGGAGGATCTGCCAGCGACACTGAAGCTCAGGGAGGGAAGACATGTCACCTCACAGTAAGATCGTACTGTATGTCAGCTATGAAATATTCACAAGATGACTAATGGAAAAACAACAAAGGGAATCTTCTGTCCTGCACCATATTACCCCCAGTTCAGCAGTATCTGGTAAAGGTTGTGCATCATTCCTTCAGTAGAATAACACATCTTCTGCTATTTTCATCATACATTTCAGTTAATGTTGCAACAAAACCCCTAAATCAGCATTTCCCAATCCAGTCCTCGGGGACCCCACATTTTTGCTCCCTCCCAGCTCCCTGTCAGACAGTCCACATTTTTGCTCCCCCCCAGCTCCCTGTCAGACAGTCCACATTTTTGCTCCCCCCCAGCTCCCTGTCAGACAGTCCACATTTTTGCTCCCCCCAGCTCCCTGTCAGACAGTCCACATTTTTGCTCCCTCTGAGCTCCCTGTCAGACAGTCCACATTTTTGCTCCCNAGCTCCCTGTCAGACAGTCCACATTTTTGCTCCCTCTGAGCTCCCTGTCAGACAGTCCACATTTTTGCTCCCCCCCAGCTCCCTGTCAGACAGCCCACATTATTGCTCCCTCCCAGCTCCCAGATTGGGAAACACTGCCCAAAATGATAGTCAAGTCTTCTGCAGAAAACCTTAAAGGCAAACGGCAGAGTATGAAGCTACGCAGTGTAAGGCAACACGCCTTTGTGCTCTCAAGCTCCATCTGAAAGAGGAACATGGTCTGTATGGCTGGGTGAGATGTGCGTGTGAGGGTTACAGAGCTGCTGACCCTGACTGAAGGCATGAATTTGTAAACAGGTTGAAACCCAAGCTGCTATTTTTCCATAACTCATGAGACTTAACTCACATTTCTTCAGAAAATACCCACCTAAAGCAATGGATAAGTAATCAGCTGAATGTGCTTTGTGACTGCAACAGTAATTACTTGGATGAAATTATTGCCTTAGCATCAAAGTAAGGTTCAGTTTGGTTTTTGCTATAGATGTAATGGACCAGCAGAGGGCACTGCATTCCGCGGGACTGGTTACCGGGCTCTGTACACTGGACCAGCAGAGGGCGCTGCATTCCGCAGGACTGGTTACAGGGCTCTGTACACTGGACCAGCAGAGGGCGCTGCATTCCGCGGGACTGGTTACCGGGCTCCGGACGCCTCCCATTGGCCGCAGGAGCAAGCTGGCCTCCCTGAGCCGGATGTTTAAGCCGTGGAAATGGAGGAAAAAGAAAAATGAGAAGCTGAAGCCGAGCTCCACAGGTGAGATGTGGACATTCGGTGGTGAAAGTAAGCAGCAACATCTGAGTGGCGATCACTGTGTTTAGTGGAGTTTAATAAAGTGTGTGTGTGCGTGCATGAGCTGGAAGGACTGGCAGCCATGGTGACTGTGGCATTTGGCTACATCCCACAGCTCTGGAGAAGAAGGCGGCAGCGCGGCAGAACCGGGCCGAGCTTGTCAGAATGGAGCAGTCAAGCGTGGCTGGGGCAGGTGAGCGGGACTGGGCGGGGCTGGGTGGGGCTGGGCGGGGCTGGGCAGAGCTGGGTGGGGCTGGTGCTACCATACATATAGGAATGAAAGGGAGGGTCTACAGGCCACCAATCAGTCAATCAACAGGTGACAGAACACACCCCCATATCCGAGCAGCTTTGGTCACTATCCTTACCTGACCGGCTGAGCTTCACTGCAGGGTATTAATGTGAATGAAAACTAAGTCTATTTACTCAATTTAAAATATTTACCTTTAATAGTGAAATTATTGCCCCCTGCAGGCTTGTACTGGATAAGTGATGGACGGATAAAATCTTAAAAACACAATAAATACTCTATTTTTTTTTTTTTTAAAGTGGTTTAATGGCATGAGTTTTTTATATAATGTGAGAATTAGCTTTATACATGTTTGAGATTAATGCTAAAAGAAAACGTATACTGACGTGAATACTCAAGCTGTTAAGTTGCAGCAGGCAGTGATTGTGGATGCATGTTGTCTCTTCATTTTATTAGCAAACATGCAGAGCCAGTCAGGGGGCAAAATGCAACCCATTTAGTGCATTAAACATTGACATAGATACTTATAAATTTGTGATACAGTGATGTTTGTTTCCCATGGTATGAGTACAGCAGTCTCCCCTGTATCCATGTGTCACACGTTCCAAGACCTACCTTGGATGGTCAAAACTGTGGATAACAGCAAACCATCCGCATCATCCGCAGACCCCGTACATAACGTGATGTTTGTGTACATACATATAGCAAAGTATAATTGATAAATTTTGCACAGTAAGACAATACCAACGTTAAATGCAGTAATAATAAAATACATGGTTCATTATAATATAGCAATCCACAGTGTGGCTTCCTCAAATGAATGCGATTCTGATATTTTAACCTAATTTTCAAGAAAAAATATTGTGTATCACTATCAAGGGATGACGGGGTAATGAAAATCATGCTTTTTATACTTCTAAACTTTATTTCTAGAATTGTCCCATTTTTTGGGATCGGGGTAAACCTCAGACAACTGCAACTGCAGATACTAATACCATGGATTTCGGGGGCCCACTGTACTGTATGGGAGTTCTGGCATTTCTGCATGTCCATCCTGCCCCTGGAAGAGGAGCCAGGCAGCCACCAGCCCTAATCAGAATACTCACTGGCTGGGTGAGCTGCTGTAATGCTATGTGATGGTGATGTTTTCCTATTTCCCATTGTAGATTTGGTACTGGCCTGTGCACAGGGTCCTCTGGATTCAGACCCCTCCCCACAGGGCAGCTCTGACATGGGGGAGAAGGAGGAGTGGACCCTGGATGACATGGACTCTGATAAGGATTGTCCATTAGCAGGTTAGATGATCCTTAGAACAGACTCCATGGCTTTGAGGAGAATTTCAGTCACTTCTGGGACAGAGTAGTGATATTATTGGGGTGGGGTTTTTATTTATTTACTGGGTATGATGCAGAATAATCTATACACAAGTAGAACAAATTGTATGTCTCAGCTATACGTGTTAAGATACATGTGCCCTGTCTCCCCTGGTGCCATTTGTCTGGAAAGTTGTCAGTTCACACGCGCACCACTAGGTGGGAGTAGATACCACTTGAAAAGTGAATTGAATTACTCACAGCTACCCTGCACACTGATACCAGATCAAGAGCTGCCAAATGGACGATAATATGTGAGCGTAAGTATTTTTCTACCAGCAGGGCGAATCACTACACATCCCAGTGACGTACTGGGGAAACTGAACGCCGTCGTGGGAGTGCAGGACCAGCAGGATGACTGTGCTGGTGCTGTCTCTGAGGGAATTTGCGAAAACCACGAAGGGAAAGAAGAAGCCGGGGAAGACACAGCAGTGGGGGACGCCGGCGCAGCCCCCCCGCCCAGTCTCGCTGCCAAAACGCTGCCCAAACACGGGACTATGGAAGGTCAGGGGCTCTGAAAGAGTGTGGTTTGAATCAGAGAGAAGTACAGTGAGTAACAGTCTTTGCTCAATGTCAGTCTTTCTCTCTCCAGACTCGGGCAGATTCTCCCAATCCCCCCAGCAGAAGATCTCTGCCTTCCCCAAAGACTCACCTACTCTGCGAGGACAGAGCTCCACCCCGACAGGGTCACCTCACCTGACAAAGCTTCATTCGTCACTGCCCCCTAGCTGCATCATTGAGGAACTGCATCGTGCCCTAGCCACCAAGCACCGACAGGACAGGTGAGCCCTTGTGCCGCCACATCTTGACGTTCCCCTCGAGCTCATCTCCCTGGTTAGTGACCGACGGACGCCGATACTTGCTTTCTCCTCAGCTTTCGTGGGAGAGAAGCCCGCTCATCTCCAAAGCGCCGGTCTGAGGGTCAGCTGTGCAGCGTAGATCAGGGCAGACCAGATGAAGCTGAGAGCAGGAAGGACTGTGAGGAGAACAAGGAGAACCTGTGGCAGGATACCTTTCACAGAGATGGCTTCTCAATTAACCAAGACAGCTGGAACAACTCAGTCATCTCTGGTGAGTGTGTAATGATCATCACAGATAGTCTGACATAAAAGCTCAGCTGATACATCTTGTTTGTGTATGTGTTTTTGTAATTATTACATTGTGGGGACCAGATTGGGGGGACATGTTTTTGGTATATTGTGATTAGTCTTTATGCATTGTGAATGTATACATATGTTTTGTGAGCAGACCGTAAATGCACACATTTAATTTTGTAATGCATGCATTGTGAGCGGACTGTAACCACGTACAGTTGTGTACTATGAACAGTCAGTAAGTGTGAGTGTGTCCTCCTCTGTGTGTGTGTGTCACAGGAACACTGCCACGCAGGATGAAGAAGGAGCTCCTAGCCGTGAAACTGCGAAACCGGCCCAGCAAACAGGAGCTGGAAGAGAGGAACATCTTCCCCTCGCGCAGCGACCTAGAGCGGCAGCTGATCCGGCAGCAGATCGAGACCAAGCTCGCCAAGTGAGTGTGAATGTCACTAAGGGCCACAGAACATTATCTGTATGACAATATGACCTGGGTGACTCATATCAGTCACTAACACAGGGGGAATCCTCACAACTCTGTCATAGTGAAGGTGATTAATTGTCATTGTTGACACACCACAGCACAACAACAAAATGGGTCCTCTGCATTTAACACGTATGTGAGATTGCAGTGGGCATCGCTTATTTAGTGCCCGGAGGAGCCATGCATGGGGGGTGGTATCTTGCTCAGGGTATCTCACTAGTCGGGGATTCAAACCAACAACCTTTCAATCACAAGCATGCCTTCGTAACCATTAGGTCCATTGTCCATCGTCCCTTTGAGACAAGTTGTCTGCTTCAAATCTGGCAAAAGAGGCTTTATTAAAATAATAAAACACATTACTACAGAGTAATTGTGAATTACAAATTTAAAAGTTTTGGAAAGAATTTTCAAGTGCATAGGGGGTATTTTCAATATTTTCTAATGTCTTTATATAGATAAAAACAGAATAATAATGATACATTATTGTTCATTTGCACAACTTAGTATTATTTTACAAATCATAAAAGTCTGGTCAATTAATTAATCATCTGGTTAATTAGAAATTATTCTTGTTTTGTGTGTATGTTCTAAGTAGTTGTGTGTATTATCATTGATTAGTTGTAGTGTGTGTTTGTGTCATTTTAGACTGACATTCTCTACTGCTTAAAACTCAGTCACACTTTTATGCGACAGGGTCTAAAAAAGACATGGAAGAGTGTTTGCCATAGATCTTGTGTTTGTGTGTTTATCTTAATCTTACAACACAGAACCTTCTTTGATCACTGCAGTCAGCCTTTCTGCTTCTTTGAAACTGATCCTGGCCACAGTTTTATGCAATCATGTTTCAGAAACAGGTGTCGTAAAAGGAGGACCCATGTCATGTTTTATTGGGTCAAAGTCGCTCAGATCCTTACATTTACCATTTTTTCTGCTCCCAACACATAGACTACAAAAAACTGACTGTTTTCTTGCCCAATATATAATGCCCCCCCTTGACAGATGCAATTGTAATAAGATAATCAATGTTACCCAGTTCATGTGCTTTTTGCTGATACCGGTGATTTGCTGTTATGGATTATTTGCATTTCAAGCTTACATTCTGTACAAGGAAATCAAATGTATTTTTATGAACTAAAACCAGAAATATCCATATTGTAACAAATGGCTTGTTGTAGGAAATTTAAAAATAAATTTTTAAGTTAGGGACACAATAATAGTCACCATTTAGCATTGCCCCTGAATTCCCAGGACCTTATCTGTGAGGTATAGTGAGAAGCAGAGAGCGGCTCTGCGTTATTGTCCTAGATAAACAGTGAGAGGTAAATGGAGCTCTTTATATTGCAGGTGGAGCTTTTTGGTTGGCAATTTCCAGTCCAGAGCTGCCTCTCTCCATATAAGAGAAACTACATGCTATCTTGGGAACTGTAGTCAGTGAAGTATCAAATGAAACTAAATATTACATTACTGTTTTTTTTTTTTTTTTGCTTAGACAGAGTGTTTATAAAACATTTTACAGATCATTTTAATTTTACAACTGGATAATCTGATGGATGAATTTTAAGTACATGGTCAACAGAACAAGAACCAGGTCTCTCCTGGAATTTTAACCAGTATCCATCAAGGTTAGAATTCTATGTCCTTAAACGTGACGTCATGTACCGCCTTAAAAAAAATGACCATAAGCTGTGAAGCTGCTGGTGTTGGATGGATGATGGAAGCAGATGGCAGGAGGAAGGATTAGCAGGAGAGGAACAGCCAGTGGCCTACAGGCACAGAGACAACGTCAAGAGCATCGTGGAGGCTGGACATGGCCCACTGGACACTGGACAGTGCTGTACTGCTCCTCAAAATACCAGGCATGGAATATTTTACACAAGAACACCTGGCTTTAGTAACAGCCACTCTCAGCAGAGCCAGATAAAAATAGTAACTTAACACTATTCTGAGACTGGGACATTGTCCTACGAAACCTTGTTTAAAGCTTCTAAAAACATCCTGAGCCCAGTGCTTTATGACACTGTAGCAGTGTCCATTCAGGGCAGACACTAAACAAACAGGTTATATAAAGACACAGCCTGCCGCCGGGTTGCATAATAGGGCATGAATCAATACTGTGGAATGAAGGATCATCTGACCTCATGGTGATAGAGGCATCATTTGGTCTAAGTGCTGAACAACCTGTCAGTCTACACCTGGGAAAACACATTTTTTACCTGTCAGCATTTCAGCTGATGATGCAACCAACTCTTGTCTTTGCACCAGCACTGGACAGTTCATTACATTCTCAGTACTACAGTTTGTGAATATTTTCATGTCTGCATGGCTAGGGACCTTCACACTGTTTTAAAGTGTTAAGCTGTTAAGGTCATAACATAAGATCATCTGATGAGTTTGTCACAGTGTTTCGATTGAAGTAGACACTCGTAGACGCCCACTTACCACCATAAGCCGGGTCCATGTAGCATTTAAAACCGTCTGGCTCCAACATACAGCTGTTTCTGCAGAATTTGACTGTCCAAGCAGTGAAATTATGAGTGTATGTCCTGACATTTCATGTTTTTAGCATAATATTGAACTTTTTATGTATGTAGGGCTTTGCATCACCCAGTCTCTATATTCATAGCCAGGATATTTAATATTAAGAGGAGTAATGTCACTTACTGTGCTCAATACAAATTAAATGTTCTGCATAAGAATTAAATTTGAAAAGCGTATTAATAATTTTTTCACACTCCCACGCTTTGCTTGAAAAAGAAAGTGAACATTGTTTATCTGTGATTATTTTGTTTGTCAGTCATCAACTGATGTCACACTTGATGCAATTTCTATTGTGCCAAAGGATTCACATCATCAATCACAGATGGCCGGCGTTTCAGAGTAATAAAAAAAATGCAGATTAATAGAACTTTTCATAACGTCTTTTCACACTTCCTTTAAAACTATTGCACATTTTGTGCTGATTCTTACCTCTTGAAAATGAGAATAAGAAACTGAGGGTGGAACAGGATATTTAACAGCGAGTTTTTAAATAAGTTTTGACAAAATGACACACACACACAAATATATATATGGTGTAACTAAACACATCATTACAACTATTAAGATATGTGTTTACCCACTATTTAACATCCCTGAGATACATCTGATCATGTAGTGTTCAGAGCAGTTCTCCAGTTGTCCTTTATTCACATGTAAGAAGAAATTCACATCTTCTCAGAACTCAAACCACAAACTCCCTGAGTACTGAACACCCTGTCTCTCAGCACTATTTATATTCATCTATTTGGAAAAAAAATAAGAGTCATCATTTTCTTTGTGGAAATCATGTTAGCAGTATCTCTGATGTAAAAACCAAAACAGACAGGTGTTCTTTCACATGTGTTATGACCTTCCTAAAAGGCAGAAAGGAATTTCAGCTGTCAGATACTATTAAGCTGTCTAGTTTGCCTGTTTTCCATGGTGGTCGTCAGTGTATTGAGTTCTGAAATGGGTATTTCAATCAGCAAAGGTATTGGGCTTAGTGTAGTAGGAAAGCACAGATTCAGCGTTCGTTATTGCATCAGCTGGGCCTTCATTAAGGTGAGGCTGTTCCTCTCAGACTGATGTGCGATTGGGAGTCACAGGGTCAATGTTGCTAAATTGATTTTTTAAATTAAATTCTGTTTTACTATTTGTTATTGCAGTACGAGGTGCACCAGTCATTACAGCGTAAGGATTTTTTTACAGCGATGCTTATTCTGTTGACAGAGGGCAACAGGGCAGAGTCGTCTTTATGGACATAGACTGGTAACCAGCAGGCTGCTTTTCGAAGTCCCAGGAGAAGCTTTGCTGTAGCCCCCCGAAACCCTGAATGGTTCCAGTAAAATGACCAGCAAATAAATGGGCAAAAACAGTAAGCGGCTATGGATATACGTCTTAGTTGAGGTAGATATAAAGTGTAGCATTGCTGAAAAAGGTCCATAGCATCAGTCACAGTGAAGAGCAAATTCAAAGCTGCATGGATACTGTAAGTAGTCATTAGTCTTTTCTTTTACTCATTTGTTTTAGTTCCTCCACATGCATGTGTGCGCATACCAATACACACAGGAATGTTGGTACCATGGATATGGCTCTCCATATTTATAGGCTTCATGTCATTCTGTATAGACTAGTGGGCTTCTTTTTTTTTTTTTTTTGGGGGGGGGGGGGGGGGGTTGTTATGTAGTCACCTTGGTATTTATAGCCTTCCCGTTGAGCATGTGACCTCTCATTAGGTGAACGTACTATCTTTAGCTTTCAGACAAATCCATACTTATCAATCTTGCACCAGAAGCACAACGCTGCTTCTATATTTAGCGCAGGAACCTCAGAATAAGGCAGCCTCGCTGCCCCCGCCTCCCCCGCTGCCTCTTACGTATCGCCGGCAGTCACGAGCCAGGCAGGGGGATGAGAACAATGCGGCGCGAGCGAACGGGCTTCAGTGGGAGGAAGATGATTAAAACTGCGGGCACTGCAGCAGAACTGGCCCTCGGTATCGATGTGACTGGAGAATAAATTACCTCAATAAGCTCCTCTGCAACCCCCCCCCCCAGCCCCGCTTTGACTAGAGCTGTTATTTTTAGCTAAAAGGTTAGGGTCGGCTCTATTTTTAGAAGGTGCACTGCGTTCCTCAGTTTGCTTGGATGTGCAAGGACTGTCCTCATTCTCCTGCAGCACTGGGGAGGTGGTGACTCCATGAGCTGGAGCCCTATGTGACTCTGCAGTCCCTGTTCTGCTCCAGCAATGCAGCCACATTCCATTACAGAATATTAGTATGTGGTCCCAAAAGACCGCTTTAAAATAGCCTCCATTTTCAGGTCTTTTTCTCATCAACAAGATGCAATTAAATTATTATTTTTTTACATAGTGTATTATTGATTGAGTGTAAATCATAGTTTTAGAAATGCAAATCCTCTTCTGATGCGCTCAAGGCTCTTAATGGGTGTTTTATTCCCTGCACTGTATGTAGTGGTCGCTAGGCAACACAGTGGAATCAATAACATCATGTATGGCCTTCAGCAGCACTAAGGGAGAGATTTTCCATTTCATCTGTTCAAACTTTCATGTATCTCTCCGAAGCCCCTCCCCTCTCGGCTGCTCTTATTATGTAGTCGTGACTTGCTGCTGTCGACACGTCTCATCCATGCAGCGGTAGCCCTCTGGGTGACAATGGGGCTGCAGTGGTACTGAAAACCCACAGCGGGAAATCATGTGAGCCGGAAAAAGGGGTATTTCAGGCGAGTGTCACTGCAGGTGCTCCCTGCGTGTTCCAAACGCGTGGGCGGACTCGGAAATCCCGAACCGACACACTGATGCTTCATGTGGTCTTTGGATTAATAACTCCTCTCTGCTTCTTTTCACAAGTGTATGTGCCAGTGCATTACGTATGGGGAAGCACGTCGACCCCCGCAACAGTGTGTGCGACTGGCCATGAGAAATGGGGGCATTTTACCATGGGTTGTGCTGCTGGGATCATTTGCCAGTGCGGCACTGGTCCAGTTTCAGCCTATGATCTTGCCGTATAACCCCAGTGTAGCTCGGGCAGATGGCTGTGTTTGGACAGACGCCCCCCTCAGGCCTACGCTCGAGGTCCTCTTGCGAAGGTCTGACTTGGAGGAGTGGGTCACTGGGGTAGAACTGAGTGGTGATCCCACTATCTGTCAACCTTGGCCCTGAAACGTGGCCCTCAGTGTGGAGACATAATTTTGTGCCAACCACTCTGTCCCTCTGGCCTGTGTTGACGCGATGGCTACAACCAAATGATCTGTCTGTCCAGAGTAGTACCACAGTCTTTTGTGATGGGGTTCCTGTATCTGACTACACTGACTTCCCTTTACTGTGCTATATTGCTTGTCTGTATAGGTACTAAAACGACTTAGGTGTCTCCTTGGTAGGATGTATCGGTGTCATGTGCCTTCAGAATTTAAATGCCACATAATAATGAATAATGATAAATAGTAAACATGATGTTAATGTCTTTAGACCTAATCGTTTTCCATTAAATGTCTATGGTGCTTATGACAACGTAACCGCCATCTTACCTGGGTGGCTGAATCTCCTGAATGTATAGTAAACCTCGGTCATTATCGATTGAACTACTACAGCATTGGCTCTGTCCTCCAGCAAGGACTGTTAGCTTCAAACAAATGTCCCTGGTTGATGTAACGTGACAGCTCATATGGCTGCTGAAAAACCACGTACAGCCTGTCCGTTCTCCTCTTACTGCTAATGGTGCTTTGGGTGACCGTGGGATTGTGCTTCTCTTCTCAGTTGTGCCATTAAGGACGCATGACGGAAAACAATCCAGTACTAGAAGGAAATTGACTGCTATTTCTATACAATTTAGGTTTTTGATCAGCTAGACAGTATAATCAGGTGTTTTCTGTGTGTCTCTCACTGAGCGTGACTTTTTCTCAGTTTGTGCAGGAAAAAAAAAAATTCCCCCTTGGTTTTACGGAAATCTTGCAGAAATACTTGTAAGCTGCTATTATGTGGAGAAATACACCGTAGAAATTGTACCGTGGGTAAATATACAGTACAAAACACAGAAAACCTGTAAAACGTGATTATTACGGGAGCTTTGGATTTAATATTTACTAGAAAAAAAATCACCCAGTATCCCGGTAGATGGACGTGACTGACGTGCAGTTTATTAAACAATCGATGTGATTATAACATAAATGCTGCATTCGGTGATATTTTGGCAAAAATGCAGCGACTTGTGCGAATGCGGCGGGGAAACACCTCGCCTTCTATCTGCCAACAATAAGAGGGCGAGCCTCTCCGCGGGATCTGGCGGAGCAGGACTTACTAGCGGCTGTGCGTGGGGATTTCTCACGTAATGCCAATTCGACGGGACTTTGCCTACGACACAAAGGAGGCTGGATCCCGATACCGCCTGTAATAACGCGCACAGGTTGCGAGGCAGAATACAGACTGACTCCACTCGGCGGCGGCGGTCGCAGCCCGCGCGGGGAATCCGACAGGCTGCGATTCCATTTATTTTTGCATTGACACCAAGTTGCCTGTTTTATAATTTTATATTTTATACAAATAATCTGTAGGGCTTTAAGCTCGTAAACCGGGAGAAGAAGTCGGTATTGCAGGAACAAAACGGAGAAGATTGAGACTTTTTTCCCGATGTGCAGCTCGACTCAAGCGCATGGAAGTCAGGTTTTAGATGGGAGATGGGAGCGCTTGGGATTCCCCTGTAGGACTCGCTGCTGGAGCAGATCTGCTCAGAGGAAGCTGATGTTTTAAGACTGGACCTAAAAGGACGCTGTTTCAGGAACTGAATCGAAATGGTCCAGAACGTGATACTGGTGTTTTTCCGCAGGAGGCTCAGTCAACGGCCGGCTGTCGAAGAGTTGGAAAGCAGAAATATTTTAAAACGTGAGTATATTGGTCACTTTTTAAAAATTGTGATGGTATAACTGGATGTTTCCAGTAAACGTGTTTACTTTTGACAGTTAACTTAAGTGAGTATTAATTGGATGTTAGCATATTATAATGCTAGCATATTATGAAGAATATAACAATATTTTTTATATTTAATAGTAATCCACATTTTTACGAAGAATTATAAAGTGTAATAATTTAACTTATAAACCGAAATCTGCTGTCCGATATACCCCAGCTGCTTATCCTAAGACGAAAGCAAGAGCTTTTGGATTTCTGTTTTCTCTGGTTAACTATAAACTTATAAATTTTCATGTTACCTCCATTTTCTTTTGCTTATAAAGCAAAGACTAGCAATAAAATCATCATATAGCCAAACACGGGAATTCCGTCTAAAACATCCCGTATGCAGGGGGTGGCGGGGATTCCACGCTGCAGTTTTTTTTTTTATAAACTAAAAATCCTTTCTCAATTCTAACCTTTACTCTCCATACCTCTTATTTAGTGATAATACAATCGCCCTTCTGGACTGATTCCGAAATTCAATTATTCATTACTTAAACAGCGCTTAAAAGGTTGTATCATCCCGATAACACACGAACCAACGTTCGTGTAACGTAGACATTTCTGACCTTAGGAAAGATGAAAATTGCAAATCCATATAGTTATTAGCGCCTCTTTGAGTGTCCTGTACATTTCCCACCCCACCGAAGTCCTGCACTTCAGTATTACCTCCGGAGTCGTGACAGCCCTGATTGCTGTGCTGTTTAAATCCAGAGAAGAGGACGTTGTCTGGTTATTTCAATAGGAAAAAAGGCAGAAAATGCGCATTTAAAAAACTACAAATAGGCAGTGTAACACAAACATTTCTGACCTTAGGAAGGATAACAATTGCTAATCCATTTAATTATCAAAGCCTCTTTTGAGTGTCCTGTGACAGACGCTTTCTACATTATTCACTACCTTTACCTTTCATGGCTCTATTTCCTTAAGATGTACAACCAGATAATTGAAAGGGGTTGAAGTAAATCAATATAATACATAGAAGAGAATATATAATTCCTTGCCTCCTGTTAATAATGGATGCCTGCACAGATTTCCTTTAGGAATAAGTGTGTAACTCTTCGCCTTGCACAGTATATGTCACTGGTTTTCATGAGACATGATTCTCTCCTGCCTTTCAGAGAGGAATGATCAGACGGAACAGGAAGAGAGGAGGGAAATCAAACAGCGGCTCAACAGAAAGGTATGTTGGCCTTGACCCACCATTAAACGTTTCTCCCCTTATTTATGGCCCATAACATGATGGTATAATGATGTGGGCAAATCAAGTTAAAAGCAACCAAGTCATATGTCTGCAAAAATACACACAAATGCCAATCTAATTAAAATCTGTTCGGTGGTCTTATAAAAAGTGTTGCAGGGGGTATTTAACACCTGCTGTTCAGAATAATGGGACATTTACACACACACACAGACAGACAGACACACACACACACAGCTCCACAGCCTTGCACTTCTCATGTTGAGAGCTGGGGTTGCTCACTGCAACACCCAACCCTGGGCACATGCACGGAATCAGCACTGGCCTTCATGTGAGACAAGCTTACCAAGCATCTGAGACTGGGATAGCATTCAACAATCAAAAAAATAAATGTCAGGCAAACATAGAGATTGTACAGATAAGCATTTTCTATCTGAGGTCTATCAGCCTGTGTACTCTGTGGGAGACGAGGTTCAGAGAAATGGTTATAAATGGCTTTGCAGGACAATAATAATGCTATATTAAATTGTGTTAAAATTATCAAAGGTTAGGATTGATATTTACTAATTGTGCTTCTCTAAACCTGTGTTCCAGCTCAACCAGCGACCTACAGTAGATGAACTGCGGGACAGAAAAATCCTGATCCGCTTCAGTGATTACGTAGAGGTGGCTAAAGCTCAGGACTACGACAGGCGTGCAGACAAGCCCTGGACCAGGTTGTCTGCAGCTGACAAGGTACCTGAGTCCAGTTCTGCATAATTTGCTTAATTACAATTCTGCCACAATTCTTCCAGAATCAGGGATCCCATTGGACTCCTCTTAATGACTGTCATTGCTTGTGTCCTGCAGGCGGCAATACGGAAGGAGCTGAACGAGTTCAAAAGCAACGAAATGGAAGTGCACGCATCCAGCAAACACTTGACGAGGTCAGTGAAAGTGTTTTCGTAGCAACTTCCAGGGCTATTGTTAGAAAACCTGCATGTTCTGAGAGCTTAAGATAGCCTGAACTCAATATAGCAGAACCAAAATCAGCACACAGCAGCAAATCCTGACATCCTTGATAAATGCGGCTGTAGGCACCTCCAGATTCCCTATAACCGCAACTCTCCCTGTCTGTAACAGTGACCCCGCTAGCAGAGTTGCTTTCTCTGAGCGCTGCACTTCCCTAAAAATAGCCTGCTCCTCAGTCAGCTACCCCAAGCAAACCGCTGGTGACTAAAAACGTAGCTTTGTAACAATGCTGTCCCCATCTTCTCCCCTCCAGGTTTCACAGACCATAAGAGATGTTTCTTCTGTGAAGAACTTCTACGCCCTGTCTCACCGGGGAGCGCCTGGAGAGCATTCTTCCAGTGCCTTGGCCCATTCCTTGGGTGGTCATGATACTCTGGCAGATGGTTTTATGGTTGATGCTGCCTGGAAGAGATGCACTATGGGCCACTGAGCAATCTAACCAGGTTATAGTGGGCAGAAAGAGAGAGAAGGCATAAATGAGGACTCTTTTGGACAGAGTGCATCCATTCTTGGAACAAACTGTGCATGTCACCAGCTTTCCTACCCTTGAAAAAATAATCCCAGGGGCATGGGCTCAATTCTGAGCAAATTTCATACTGTATAAATACCAATCTTGAGAGAATTGTCATTATTGTTATAATGATTACTTTGTATATTTGTGTGCAAAATAAGAATTTTTTAAAAGTCAATAAAAACAAGATCCTTTTGTGTTACTTCCTGTGTGGTTTTTCTTTGGGGAAATACTGGGATGTATTTTAGCTGTTGCAGGACAGGCGTTAGGCCTTAGCACTATAGGACTGAAAAATGGTAACAATTACTAAAGTAACAGATTTTCTGGATGAAAAAACCCACCCACATCAATGCAACAACCCTCAGAGACACAACGTGGGCAACAGTTGACCATGACAGGCTGAAATTCCTCAAAAATAGATAGTGTCAGAGCCAGCAACTTAAATTCCAACTAGGTTTTTTCTTGAGCTTTATGCTGCCTGGGATGGGCAATAACAGCCCCCCCAAATGCTGCACCGTATAAGCTACTGAAATACGGAGGGATGGATAGCTAATGATAGCTACACAGGCGAAACTGAATTTCGTGTGTGTGGAACTTACTAAATTACTTTTGTTCCTGATCACAGAAATAAAATACCTTTAGTGATTTGTGAGAATAATATAATTTGTGTACTTCATAAATAAAACATAACATTATAGCATAAATAAATGTAAAGCATAACTAAGTAGGTTAGCAGGAAGAAGAAATGTCTAGTTTGGACCTCTGCTGTCCCTGTGTCACACAGGCCTCAGCATGTGCAGCTGAGGACATTAACAAAAACCTAAGGGGTGTGTGTAAGCTGACCTCTCCAAGAAAGCACAGGCTAATGCCATACCAGAGATAATTTATTCAATAAAACCATATTAAGATTAAAAACAACCACCCTAAATTCACTGGACTATTTCTAAAACCAACACTGAACAGAAGACAAACACAGCAAGAGATCTCAATAACTGTAGCTTCTTACAATTGCTTAAAAGATTTCAAACCAAGTAATATTTCTTCAAATGTTCATTTTAGTGAATGTTCTCAATTGAATCAAGTAACAATACTGGGGAATTGAAGTTTCTTCTTTCCCACATTTACACAGCAGAGACAACAATGTAAAAATATGAAAAATTGCTGAAAACCTAGGTCCTCTTGGAGTTAAAGTCCCACCCTTCCAGGCAGATACCAGGCCTGAAGCGCTCTGTGAACACTCAAGAGACTTTCCTTGTGCTGGAGGATGTAAATGAGATAAATACATGATACATTTCATAGAAACAGGCACCAAAATACTCACTGACTAAGCAATTCGTATCAACATAACCTGTCAACAAAGCCTTTATTAAAACCGACATTGAGCTTTTTAGCTTTACTGGCGCTCAGTTTTGCAAACAAAACATACCCTTAAAAAGTGTCACTAACAAACCAGAACCCGCCGATACTCTCAATTCTGCTCACCATGTCCCTGAAGAGCTTATCTTGTATGGACTTCATGTTTTTCTTCATCAAGCATATCTGAAAAACATAAGCGAGAGACCATTGCCCTGGATGCTTGATTTCTGAACGCTGACGGGCATGCTGAGATGATGCCTTGCTGTTTGGATTCTCCTGTTTGTGAACTGGAAGAAGTAATACAGTGATACCACAAACACTACAGTAATATCTGGTCAAGCAGTAAAAGACTCTGGGTTTGGGGAGGACGACGGATGGCGTGCCGGGAAGGCAGCCCCTCTCTATAATGAAGCCCCGTGGAGCCTGAAAGGAGACAGCGGGTGTAGACAAATCACATCAAACACAGAATTCACTGATTTCAGTTGACCAGCCATAAGTAGTTATTCTGTGGTTCTGTCACAGTTGTCCTACTTGGAGGAAATATAGAACCTGGCCAAACACAAAGGAAAAGGCTGCAGAAAGAGGGATGTGTACCATTCACCACTGTCCACCTAATGTTTAACTGTTAGACCTTTCTCACTTTCTCCACTTGGTTACATCCATGGTTTCCATGGCTTGGTAGGCCTGGCAGTCCAACATGACCTTGTCAAGGACATAGAATGACTGATAACAAAAAGCAGCACTTAAGTTTAGCAGCAAATGAAAGAACATTGATTCAACAGTGCAATTTTCAATGGAATGCCCTCTTCCATGCTTTACTTAATACTGTAGATTCACTTAGTGAAGGCAAGTACCAGCCAATATTTTTACACTAACTGTGTAAAAAATATTTTTATTTAGTGTAAAATATTTTTACACTAACCTCTGGTTATACATAGTTATTGGACAGTCTGAGAAAAGGTGCATAGTTCTGGATCTGTGAGATCTTGGAAATTGTATACACACATATAGGATTGACGGCATTATAACTTGTAAGACTCGCCTCAGAATGAAAGATCCGGTGCTCATTCTCTAAACCATGACACCCATTAGCCTGGAATGTGTTCCTCAGATGCTGCAGCCTGGCGGACAGGAAACCACAAACTGGATGAGAGGGGTGAATGAACAGTGTAACAGAGCAGCAATGAAAATGAGGACACCCGACCAGAGGAAAGACAGAAAAAGGACAATGACGCAAAAAGCGTGTCATTCTGAACTCTAGGTACAGGGTCAACACATCATCTAGGCGAGGTCCAATAAAAGAAGCGTACGTATGTGTTTCCCATAGAAACTGATTTTTTTTGTTCCAAAAATTGTGTTACAGCATGACCTGGAATAAAAATACTGGTAATTATTTTAAAAAGTTTTCTCAACCAAAACTCAGGAAGGTAACCTGCAAATAAGGTTACTTATAATATCTGTTATATATAAAGCAGCAGTTTGCTGTTCTGTTGCGTAATCAGCCACCATTATAACCGTTAAACCAGCCAAGACCTGGAGGTGGCTGCAGGAAACAAAATACCAATAGAACCTGGACATGTCACTGACTCTGCGGAAGGTAATCTGAAGAAGCCTATGGATGTCTTTTGTTCAGTTCAACATGCCTGCTAAGAATTATTCTAAAGAATCAAACACTGCAGATACTGCAACCCACAAAGAGAATCTTTGTTTTGCCACTATCAACAGGCAAGGCCCATTAAACTACATATCTCATATGAGATAGGAATTTTTTCAGAAATGAAGATTTAACAGAAGAGTTTGGACGCACTACAGTTTGGACTACTAGCTAGCTCCAAAGATGATGCCTCAGGATGGGGAGATGAGGACTTGCTCAGGTTATGTTCAGCCAGGGTGGGAAAGTGCTGATCAACTATGAGTAGCAGAAACAACACTTAAAAAAAACTCCATAACTTGGTGAACATGCCCTCTCACCAGGAGGCAGTGTTAGAGACTTCTGGTGGATCACAATCTTTCACTGAAGCCGCTATGGTAGTGAGAAACAAACATAGTGGAAAAGTTCGAGGGGTAGATGAAATCTGTCAATAGGTACTGAAAGTACTGGATGATGACAGTGATCACTTGAGGTTTGCAGTTCACCAGCCATTCTATGTCCCGATGCTGAATTATGGTTTTGAGCTGTGTGTAATGATCCAAAGACCAAAACTGCAAATACAAATAACTGAAATGAGGTTGCTCTGCAGGGTTCCAGGATTCAATCTCTGTGACAGTGTGAAGAGTTCAGAGATCTGGATGGGGCCTTGAAATACAGATGCTGCTCCTTTAGGTCTAGATAAGCCATCTGACATATTAAGTATATCTTATAAGGATGCTACCTGGAGACGTCCTCAGGGAGTTTTTCTGAGCATGTGCCACTGACCAGAGGCCATGTGGAAAACCCAGGAGACCTGCTGAGGATCTATATGTTTCTTAGCTGGCTTGGAATAGCCCAGGAGAAGCTAGAGTATGTGGCCGTGGAAAAGGAGGTCTGGTCAGATTAACATGTGGTCACCAAAACCCTCAATAGAAAGAAAAGGGACTTCAGGAGGTTTAAGAGAATCAATTCAATAAGAAACAAGACTGATGATTTCAAAATACCCAGAACAGTTGGTCATGGTCTACTTCAATAAAATCGGATCTACCGATTTCCCTAACTGTCTAAGAGATATACTCATACCTGTGCGCATCTTTCTCCTTGATGGAGCGAAAAGCCTGGTACTGCTTACCCCAATAAACCTAAGGAGATAAGCTCAATTTAATTGTGACAATAGCATCTTGTTTTTTCCTCTTTGTGTATAACATGATCAATGATGATACTATTGATAAGGTCTCTTTAAGTTGTTATTGTTATCCATTTGCAGCAGCATTTTGCCACAGAAGTTGTATCTAGATTGTGCATAAATAAGTACCTTGCAGAGATGTTCACGAGTCACAAAATTAGAGTCCTAGTGAAGCTTCAAGTCTGCATTGTGGGTCCAGTTTGACATTATTTACCAAAGATTTTACTGCCGATTTGTTTTTTTCTATTAGTAACTGATGTGACTAAATGAGAATCACCACTTGAACAGTTCAAAAACTGCTGTTTCATGGTACCTTAGGCTTATATCCATCTTCAAAGTAATCGCTATTTAAAATGCCTTTGGAGGAATAACATTTTTTTAAGAACCTAAACACATTTCTAATGTAGATTTCAAAATTAATACTTTCTCAAAAATAACATTATGTTGAAGACGTCCACTGAGCAAAACAGTTACAAACATAGCCTAAGGAGGGTGTTAACCTGGCAACAACAATCAACGGTGTAGGAGCCAGACCACAAATCACACCAAAAGTTAAGCGATGCCTATTTCTAAGAGGTGCCTTGGAATAACACTCAGAATATCCCACGCTTTGTCAGATCGGGTCAGAGTGGCAAAACAGAAAAAGCTTGTTGGTCACTATCAAACAAGTTGCAGTTGCGTTTGAGTCATAAAGTAACGAGTTGCAAGTCAAGTCAATTAAAGTCGAGTCAATTTCAGAGCGACTCAAGTGCGACTCAAGTCCGAGTCACAAACTCGAGTCCCCATCTCAGGTACCTTGCACACAATTTATGTTTGTGCATATTTCAGTGTATCATTTCTTTAAACCCTTTGTTCACTACATTATGTAAATGTGATTATCTACTGTTCAATTTACAGCCAAAGAGCTTAGTAGCATACAGTCAGTTCCTTTTCCATGTTTTTCAGAGTGGACTCCTCCTCTTCCATTTTCCGTATCTCTTGTAAGAGATCTGCTTTGATGTTCTCTAGACTGCGAATCCTGTAGAAAGAGAAGCACTTTGTGATACCTGTATCTGAATGATGTGTACTGGAGGAAAATAATGGCAGCTCACCTGTACTGATGCACCTGTACACAGGCTGTGGAAACGTGCTGCTGCATCATATTTAGTGACTGTTTGGAAAAGAGGCTCATTCTCCTAGAGTGATTCTACAAGGGTACAGAGGCTCAGGCTAGCACATTTATAAATTCTAACTTGACTCCAAAGTATGAGTCCAAAATGAAATGTAAATTGATGTGCGGTAATGAACTTTTTGTGAGAAGGTAGGATTAAAAGGGTGGAAGCAGTTCAGGTTACCTTTAATTTTCTCTGCAAATCAGAGTTAAGCTGGTGGCAAGCGGATCCGAGGTTCTGGGTACCATCGAGGTCTTGCAGGCTCAGGTCCTCAGTGTCCACCTTGTCCTCCCAGCAGCTGGACACTGATGAAAAGATGGAGTGTACCTCCATGTCACTTGCCAGGAGACAGGCAGTCTCACACACCTCCCTTCTTCAATGGATCTCTGGAGAGGATTTCTGATTCACGCATCCGAAATGTTAAAACTTATATTATTAAAAGTTATATTATTCCCTTTGTGTTTTATCCATTTCTAGTTTTGGCATTGATGTGACGCCATAGACAGAGTGATTGTCTACTTTACCCTGGTTGCTACTTGGAATCTATCAGAAATATAAGCATGTAGAAGGTTTCTTGCAGTGGGATTCGAAGTACCATGTCAACACAGTACTTGTAAATATGCTTAAATATCTTCTGTGTAGCTGACTACTGACTTTGAGTCTTAAAGGTCCATTGCATGAGGCCTTCAGATGTAATGCCTGTGCCTGCTTAACCGTGTTAGAAAGACAAGAAAATGTTATAAAATAAGAATTCCAGATGACAGACTAAGGCCATATGTATGTCATCTATAATGTTTTTATGATGTTCCGGTCCCTTATTCGTCTGTAACATTTCTGCTCATTAAAATGACATAATGGGAATTATGAGGAAAAAAGATGTGTATTTTTTGTATCTGTCCCTGATAAAGGCAAGCTTCCTGTGTCTAGTATGGTGACGCTTCTCTACAGGCGTCTGGTTTCATAACACCATTGGAAAGCACTCCCACGCGACATGGTTATGGCAGCACGCAAATTACACTGATTTCGGACTCATTCACAGCTCTCACTTACACCGTCTGCAGAAATACTCATGGCTTCATCTGGTGCACATGGACACAGCTTATATGAATCCGTTATTGAGTTAAGGAAGTATGTGATTGGTTTCTTAGGGATGCATTTCTCAAGCCAGGGGTGGGCTGTGAAACTGATGCAGAGAAACATGGTAAAGGGGCGTCTCATGGACGCAAACTCAATCACTCCTGGGTGAAAATTCACGAAATATAGTGAGAGGGAACCAGGTTGGCAAAATTTAAGGAGGGGAACCACCCAGGCCACTGACATGATAAATGATGAATAGCCAAGCATCGTGGTTGGAAAGGTTGAGAAAACGTGGCTCGAGGTAGTGTTTGAGACCTCTGAAATGGAATGCCACTGTATATCTGAATGTCAGTGAGCCCTAGGTAAGTTAAGAGTTTCTGGAATGGGACTTGGGACTGAGGACTGGAAAGAGGAACAAGAAGTGGAAGGTGAGGATCATATTATATAGAAGAGATTGTACCTATGTATGTGTTAATCGTGCGATCCCTTTGTACACCAAGGGCTCCTCTGGCCTTTCCAAAACCACTTTCCTCATTCTCCTCATTTTCCCCCTCAAAGGTGTTCTCCAGAACCTTTGGAGGTGTTGGTCCCATTTGGCTAGACGTTGAGGCTGATGGGGTGATGGGGGGGGAAACAGGAGACCCTGGAGGACCCAAAATGCAACAAGGGAACACGCAAACTGAACAAAAATGGAGCCAAGGCAGAGACACAAACCTTGGTGCCAGAGATGTAAGGCTTTGACAGATTTACACTTGCCAAACAAGATGCAACTTCTTAGATGGGAGAGAAGTAATAAAAATGGCATGAAGGGGCAATATCAAGTACACTTTAACTAGAGATGTCACTTTCAATCTGAATAAATAAGGGACAATCCCCCCCACCCTTGTACTCAATGATAAAATTTCAATGTAGGATAATGCTGTAATATATAGGATGGGCGGCAACTCTAACTACATTCTCTGGAGTGAATTGTAATTTTCTTTACATCTTCTCTGATTTTTCCTTTAACAGAATTTGCATTTGGTGTCAGGGTCCTGACACTGGCAGTGAGTCAGGACACAAGGCAAACACATCTCCTCACTCAAGTGGCTCATTTGGGGTTGAAACAGCTTCCTAGGCTTCAGCCTGTCACCACAGTCTCTCAGCCTGTCACGCTTCTTCTGCCACCGCTCTTCAGAGCTGCTGGACCCAGGAGGGGAGGCCCGGCGCTTGAGAGTGAGACAGGGCCCTGCACAGCAGGAAGAGCGAGGGGGGGGGGGGTCACTGCGGCTCCCCTGGGGGTATTACAGACACCCCTTCTAAAAGTTTCACGCTTTAAATTTATTTAAGACAGCAGTCAGCGGCGTAGTTAAGAACACCTGTCTGCAAGTTCAAGTCCAACCAAAACCCCCCTTTTACACCATTAAAGGAGTTTAAGAAAAGTACTTAAGCTGATGTATTGGTAAGGCATGACACTTTCTAAAGTAAAATATCAGACTATGTACATGTGAAATATGATAAAATGCTGCTGGCCCAACAATTAATTTACATAAAGAAAATGTAATTACATTAATGTAAATTTTCTTTACCTGATTGATGCTCGTTAAACTGAACAGGCTTGGATCGCCTGGAGGACGGATCAGGAGTCTTCTGCACCAACACAGGTCCACATGTTAGCACTCCTCTAAGACTTCACACATGAATGTCTAACAAAGCTGAATGTCAACAAGCATCAACACACAGAGTACAAGTTTATTCACATTTCAGACTCTGAATGTAAATCTAAGAATGGCTTTGCAAAACTATTAAATTATTAAAGAGAGACCTCTCAGGAAAGGAATCAAGTATGGTGTAGTGAAAGAGAGATTATACTTTTTTTGAAGAATTGTACGACTTAAATTGACATTCAACAGTGCTCACCAAGCCATACTAGTGGAAAACCAGTCTCTATATTCATTCTAAAAAGAATTCTAGCCCACTATGACTTACAGAAATGCTACAACAAAGATATTTTTTCAATGTTGTTTAAGTCCGGCCTGTGAGTTGGCCATTTCTTATTTCTGACTATGCTTGTTTATGTTATTTCTATTTTCATTTATCTCTTATGTATCTTTTATCTTGTGGATCTCTTTGTGTTGCCACCGGCATCAAGAGGAATTCCTTGTACATTTGGTACTTGCCGAACAATACAGGTTCTGATTCTGATTTTAAGGCACCCTGTTGTATAACTACTTGGTGTCTTGGATTATTGCCCTACATAATTCACTTTCAGTTCAGCTTTATAGAATACAGCAGCATATGTGGTAAACAGGGAAAAAAATACTATGTCCATATCCTAAGGTAAGAACCAAATTTCCCGTAATGTGTGCCCAGTGACGGCTTGGAATCTTGTCCAGGGTGACCAGGATAATACATACATATCTGTACATAATACATATTTTTGATCAGTTGTGCTCTTCAATACAGGTATGACTGGTTTACCCAGTCTATACGGATAATAAACATTAAAAATGACATGTTAGGGACAGGTGATCACAGTCCCAGCATCAGACCCGTACCTCCTGTTCACCAGTAGGCACAACAGGGCTGCTGGCAAGTTCCAGTGCACCCTGACTCTGAGTTGCCATGAAGACCAGCGAGTCCTTCAGGGAAGCGGCAGACAAGACAGGACTGTTCTCAGACTCTTGCAGCTGCTCCTCTGGGACTTTGCAATTCAACCAAGACCTTGGCCCAGACATCTCCAGGGCCGTTGAGGTCAGCAGGGGCTCGACGGGGTTGACGACTGATTTGATGGGGCTTGGTTGGGGCTATGGGCGGGTGTTAGAGAAAGGGGCAGCGGTCAGCAGTTTTACTACAGTGCTGTCCAATCACTGAGTAGTGGAGAACAGAGACTCAGTCACCTGTGAGGGGCAGCTTGGTGCCAGCGGAGGGATGCTAGACTTCCTACCCACAGAAGAGAGCTGGGGGGGGCACGGGACCTCTGTGCCAACATTGTCTCTGCTGCTTGTGTTGAAAGAGTCCGTCTGATTCCCCTTTTCAGGGCAAGGTGTCTCCAGGGGTGACATGCCAACAGGGGACATGGACACGGAGCAGAGGGGACTAATCGGAGACCTTGCTAACAACATCGGCTTATCCGCAGCTGCAACACAGACAGCTGTTAGTCACTGATGGGCACAAGCAGAACCTGGTCTTATACCGTACAGCAATCAGGGCATTACTAACGTTCTCACCTACAACCATCAAATGGTGGCATCCGCGTAATCTACCGAACAGTGTTATACAAAGGTTGAGATTTATAGCTTCTTCAAAAAGTCCAGCCCACAAAACTAATTTTAATATTTATTGTCTCAGATTCCAAAATCACAATATATTAAAGTATAAAAATCCAGCTAATCTACAGAACAGTATAAATCCTGCCAAATTAAATGAAACAAACTGAAAACATTTAAAAAGTGAAGATCAAATTTGGGCGATGCAGAAATGACTGATAACTTTTGCAAATATAAGGCTTTCTTTGCTCAAAAGGGCAGTGCCATTACCTTACCAGCCCACCCCATTTAGTGACCTCTACCTGTGGATGATGTACTGTGTTCTTAGAGTTAATTAATGAGGAGAAATTCCCCCTCTTTTGCTGAGGTCCAACAGTACAGTAGAGATTTTCAACAAAACCAATGAAAATGACAGAAGTGCTTATGAAACAAATCAGAGATATTTTTTATCAAGTATAGATCTGAGGAAGACGCCATCTGAAATGCATTGTATGAGATCTTCAGGAAGAAATTTCAACACCACAAAGCTCATTCAACACCTGAGAACTAGTCACCAGGAAGAAAACACAGACTATGAAAAACTTGCCAATGGTAAGGCTGCCGCGACTAGCAACCCGGCTCTTGTGCAACCATCCTTAGGACAGCAACGAAAGAAATCAAGCCTTTCAGTATGGATGGCAAGAAAGCAAGAGATATCATAACCAAAATCTACAAGTCACTACCGATTGTAGAAAATGTGAGATTCTAACGTCTTTTGGTTCAATTACACCCACAATATCATGTACTTCACCTGGGTCATTGTATCAAAACATGAAAATACAAATTCACAGCCTTACCCACAACAACGTTACTGCAGTTTTCATTAGCTAGTCTACATGCGTAAAATACCCTGTTTAATTGCACGATAATGCTGGCATCAAACAGAAGCGTAAGAATATGAAACTGCTGGTCAGACAGCCCCTCTAAACACAGTTCTAGAACAAGCACTTCTCAGAGAGGCTACTGCGATATGTATTGCAGAAGTCAGTGGTGACTGAAGATATGATGTTCAAAGCTCAAAACTCTCCAAAACATTGGCCTTTACAGAAAAGCAGCAAGGAAGAACAGATTAGAAATCTTTGGCTTGAACACTGAGCAGAATGTGTGGTGTAGATCTAACACTGCATATCAGTCAGGTAACACCACCCCCACTGTAAAATATGTTGGTGGTAGCATCATGCTGTGGAGATACTTTTCAGCAGCAAGGACTGGTAATCTTGTCAGGATTGACCTAAAGATGTATACAAACAGATCTTGGAACGATACCTACTCCCCTCTGCCAGAAACCTTACGCTAGCTTGTCTTTCAACAGGACAATGACGCAAATAACACTGACAGAACAACAATGCTGTAGCGTAAAAAGAAAACAATTCAATTATGTCCTAGAGTGGTATATTCAGAATCCTGATCTCAACACCACTGAAGAACTGTGGCAAGATCTAAAAACTGCTGCCCACTGTCACTCCGCAACTAACCTGGCAGAATCTGCAAATCTTGCTCCATTACATTGAAAAAAGTTAATAGAGCTTTATCCAAAAAGACTGCTAGCTGTAATAACTGCAAGAGGTGGGAAAACCAAGCACTTACATATTAATGACATTTCAGTGGCTAGATGTTTTAATGGTTTATATTTTTCTTTTTTTTGGCCAGTACTGTGAAAACGTTTCCAGTCAAACTAATCAAAATCCCAGGCTGTGACAATCAGTCATGTGAAAAAAGGTCAGGGCTTGAATTCTTTTTCAGGCACTGTAAAGGGGTGTTTGAATCAAGAAGATTTTTTTGCCTACTTATGTTTTCTGTAGAGTACAGTAAAGAAATGGCTATTTAGATGCTTCAGGTGACAAAACAAAATGAGGACTCGCTACATGGGTTTCCTCTGCAGTACACAACTTTGCTTTTATGAAAGACCTATATTAGTGCCTGTTTCTGCTAACCGAAAGAAATCTGAATAGGATTTTCACTTATGAAAAAAGCCAAAAAAACAAGAACGGCTCTCAGAGTTTGTTTTGCGGAGAGTCATTAGAGAGGCAGAATGTACCCCGAGCAGTGAGAGTGGCGCCACCAAGCTCCTTCCCTGGGAACTACACTCAGCATCCTAGCGTCAAGCCACCACTGCTTTGAACTGTGTGTGAGCATCTGTGCTTTACTTCGATACTGTGCAGCATCTGTGCTTTACTTCGATACTGTGCAGCATCTGTGCTTTAGGCCCAATCCTTAGCCCTACCCCTTAGCATGACCCCTCTGTTTTGCACGTACCCGCGTAGGGTAATGTTGTTCCATTTCTTTTTAGCAGCGAGGGGTAGTGGTGTTCAGCCCTCAAGATAGCCCTCGAAACTGAGATTTTTCAGATGCTGACTCAAAACCGAGTGAAAGAAGAAAATTCCCACAATGCATTGCAATCCACAACAAGAAAAGAAAAGATGGCTAGCAGTGTGGGGAAAGAAGCTCATATCTTTATAAATACGCTTGCAAAAAAATCTAATTTTAGCGGAATATCTTAGTTTAATATAAGTGAAACGGAGTATGAGGTTGAATTTTTCAAAAACAATTTTCTGAAAAGCGCTAATTCCGGGCGTAGAGACAGAGCAGTATCTCTGTAGTATTTATAGAAAAAGAACCGAGCAGGGGTGAGTTTCACAAAACCGTCAGAGAATTAAGAACGTATTTATTCAGAGAGAGAGCATTCAAAGTCCTTTTATTGAAGTTTTTTGGCTTGGCTACGACACTTTTGGGAAACTCACCCCCGATTGTTTTCTGTGTTTCGTGCAATAGTCTTCTAAGTGCATTATTCTACATCGTGGAATATGTAAAAGACATTGTTCCTGACATATTGTTTATGCAACCTAAACACATTGTTTATGCAAAACGTGTGCATGTTTTATAGAAATATTGCAGGCAATATGCTTAATTTTAAATCTGCATGCCATTGCCAAAGGACTGCTAATCCACAAATCGACAGTGTTAGTCATTTTGTAATATTCTAGGGAAAACGCAGTGGTATAATCATGTTGTAATGTTAAAGTGACTTGTCCGTGTTATAAGCATGTTGTACTATTCCAGGGACTCCCGAGCAAACCAGGCAGCTCATAAGAGAGTGGTAAAGATTTCAAGCCCTACCCCTTGTGGCTACGATCTGTGAAGTCAACTTCGGAAGGGAGGGCCCTCGAAATCTAATGGTAGGGCTAAGGGAGGAGAAATGGGATTGGGCCTTACTTCGATACTGTGCAGCATCTGTGCTTTACTTCGATTCTGTGCAGCATCTGTGCTTTACTTCGATACTGTGCACACGTTAGCAAGACACTACACTGTATATACATTATAACTACTATGTACAGGCTGTTTATCACATCCTCCCAGCTTTTACTAAATTTAATTTTAGTGTTAAGTTTTACGTGTTATTTGGTTTGATTTGGTAGGTTATTTTTTGGGTCTGGGAACGCTCAAATATTTTTTCCCATATAAATTAACGATAACTGGTTCTTCGCTTTACACCACTTCAGCTTATGAAAGTTTCACAGGAACGCTCTACTTTCGGATAGCGGGGGAGCTCTGTATATACAATGAATACCCTGCACACAATGAAATACACAAATACATTTTCTAGCTGGATTGTCCTGATACCATAAATATTACCAATGTGTTTTTAATTCACACTAATTAGATCCCACTCCTACACTGCTAATGGATACTCAGTTACTCTGATATTTGTAGATTCAGCATTTCACAGGATACATTGGAAGGTGAGATAAAACCTTATTGATTTGTTTAGGCTGTTACTGAAACAGTCTGTTAAGGGAGTCTGTGTGCCTTACATCTCATCCTCTCGATGGGGGCAAGGGGGGAAGTTGTAGCTGAAAATCGAGCTGCCCAGGACTCTTTCTGCTTCCCAGTTCCATCCTTCAAAGGAGGAGGAGACAAATTCTTTGCCCTCGACTGCTTTGTGGTCTTCACAGCCCTCTCTGTCTTCCTGCCGACCATCTTTATATTGGGCTGCAACCACAGAAACAAATATCTCAATACTAGCATATATCAGGGGAACACTGCTTAAATGTTTTTAACACAACAGGTGGTGTCTGTCAGTACACACTTGTATTTAATGAATGAACAGGTGCTGTAAATGTACATATGAAGAGCAGAGGCCATACAGAAGGTGGCGGGGAGGACCTGCCACTGCGGGTGTCGGGGTGCCTCCTCCTCTGATTGGCTGCTGCTGCTGAAGTCAGATGGCTCTCTGTAGCTCTTGAACACGGCACTGGCTCTCTGGGGCCGACCTAACAGTCTGCTCTGTACTGGGGGAGTCATGTTTTCCTTTTCCCTTTTGTTCCTTTTCAGTTTTGCCTGTGAATAAGACCCATGCTCTACTGAGAATGCAATTAAAACTGCTGAGATTCATAAAACATTTACATTTAAAAATTGCCGGCAACACTGCCCCTGTGTGGAAAAACAGCTAAAATAATTCAGTGACTTTGATCATGTTAACATACAGAAAAATATTTATTAGCCTCAATAAGATTATCCAGATTTACCTTTTTAGGTTTGGACAACAAGTCCAGTGGCTTTGGCTGTGCCGGAGGTAAATCCGCAGACTCATCTGAAACAGAATGAACTAGCATTACAGCTTAGGAAACTCAGGAAAACAGGACTACAATGTGAAATTCCTTCTGCCAAAAAAGAAGATTTTGCTATTGAATTTGATTGAGGTCAGTAGCATGTAAAACAACTTCTAGGTGGTACCTGCGGCTGGGGCAGATCTTTGGGGGTTCTGCCTGCCGTACTGTACAATTTTTAGCCTGGGCTTCTTAGTGGAATCCTTGAGCCAGCTGACGTCTGTCTTGTGGTCTGTGTCGGTGTCACTGAACAGGTGCTTTTTAACACAGCGGCTTTGGGTCTGTTTGTCAAAAAAGAAAGCTAGGATCTGCTCTTGCTTTTTCAAACAAAATCTGAACTGAGACATAGTTTTTGATACTTAAAAATCATATACACTGACAGTCAAAATTTGAATACCCTTCCAGGAAACTGCTTTTTCTAATGTTTTACATCATACATGGTAATCACATTAAACACACAAAATGACTACCAAGGCAACATTCTAAAAAAAGTCTCTAAATCTTGCATTCCTGCAGTTGCTCCCACAGAAATCTGGCGCTTATGGGTTGCCCTGGTTTGACTCTTCTCTCCAGTCCCATATATGTTCACTATAATGGAGGTCTAGAGTCTGTGACCGACAGTACAAAATGTGTTTTGAATCGTTATCTTGCCTAATAAGCTATAATCCTGACACAATGGCATGTCTGTAGTGTGCCATGACAGCCATGCTGTCTGAGACTGCCATCGGTTTTCCCTGTCCCTATCACCAGCAAAGCAACACCAGACCATGACGTCTCCAAAAAGCTCAATGGCTGGAACCTTACACTGCAAACTCATGAGTCATCTGCATCTTAGATTTCAAATTTTGACTAATTAGTCCATAAAGCCAAATTTCCACTACTGTTAACAGACAAATATATACAATTTAATTAATCGATCAAGTATTTATAGTTTCAAGCAGATCTACTAAAACTACTGACTAGTCCTGTATTTTAGTGAGAAAAAACCCCTAAAGATCAGTCCTGCATATTTAAGGCTAGCATTTATCAACCTTCCTACAAAACCACTTATCCAGCACTGGGTCACCGAGAGGCTAACTATATAAACGTTACCTTCACAGGCGATGGACCTTTCTTCACAGATGTTTCCACAACACTTACACGCTCCCTGCAAGTACTTTCAAAAGAAATATATTAATCACCCTCAAGCTCTGGTCTTTGCCCATGAATGCATAGTTATTCACTATTATTGTACAAGAAGACTGGTGGTACAGACTAGTATAGACTAGTTTTAACTTGAAAAGATACACTTACTTATTGTCCCATATTATTTTAAAGATCATGTTGTGATTTATTAGCTTCTATATCATTTTTCCATTTTGTGTTTAAAAGAAGTAGGTAATGCACACATAAAGCACAGACTGAATGCACTTAAATACATCATTTTTGTCATCCCACTCTATGACACTCATGAGAGCAATAACTACACACTATTGAAAGTTATGCTATAGATCCTAAACATTAAACTAATCCACTGTATCCACTAGAGGGAGCCATAATCCATGTATAAAAATGTTTAGCAAGGTTAAGCTAATTTCCTATTTGATCAAGCTACAGTAAGTGTAAGTAGAATTTTTTCAGTTTGTTATTACCTGCTTTTCGTGCTAGACTGCTTCTTGTGTCCCTGCTTTTGAAAATAGTGATGCACAAAAAGACAGTAAAGCTGTACAATGCTGAAAGACAAAGTAATATGTTGGTGCAACAACATGTTTACCTTGTTTGTCTGTGGTGTGCTCCCATGGAAATCATACACATCATTGCTTTTTAACAATGGCCAAAAGAAGACAAAAACAATTGTAGAACTACGTAAGACACAAGAATAGCATCTGAAGCAAATACATGTGTAAAATGCAAAAAGTCTTTGCACAATTATGCAAAGCAAAAAACTAATTTCTATCCATACTCAGGTAGCCCTGTCGCTACTTTCAGGTGACTGGATGGTTTTAGAAATGGATCTGAGTCTTTGCACTAAAAAGAACAACAAAAAAAGCCACATTAAAATAACCATAAAATAGATTATTTAAATGATTTAAACAGCACATTGCTGCAATATGACATAACACAGTTCACTGATATTTGAAAGTACTGACCTTTGGCACAAAGGACCAGCTTTTCTCCACACTAAATGTATAAAAGAAGAAAAATCAGGTATGTAGAAAAGCATCTATGTATCTTATCAATGAAGTGAGTCAAGACAAGTCCCATGTGTATGTAACTCTGGACCTGACCTCTTTGTCCCTGCAGAAATCCAGCAAGGCTCGGACACTGGGGCAGAGGGAGTTGTAGTGCTTTTATATCGGTTGGAGATAAACATCATCATGCGGCTTGTGAGATCTGCCGACCCACCTTTCTGTGACAGAACGGGACGGACACACTGCTGGTACTCTTAGGTGGCAGACTTTACATTTATATTTAATTATTTAGCAGATGTGTTTTTCCTAAGCAACACACAAGGGGGTAAACAGCATATAATTACATACACTGACCAATGGAAGATACTAACACTCACCTAAGAAGACAATTACATTGATATTTTATCTGTGAATCAGAAACCTAAATGTATTTATAAATGCTCCAGGGTTCTATGGTCAAAGCTATAAGCTTACATCACTCACCCCCTTTACTCCTTACACCAAACGAGAACAACCTGACGGCCCCACATAAAAACACAAACTGGAACCTTAGTAAGTCACCTTCTGTTTGCTGCTTTCTGCACTGGTGACCTCTGGCCCGCTGCTGGGGCCCATGCTTTCGTGCTTCAGGGGTTTCTGTTGTGTCTTATGTGGTCCTGGGACTGTGCCTTGCTGTGCAGCTTGGCCTCCTGCCTTCCTCTGCCTTCTCCTGCTGGCAGGGCTCTCCTGTTCCCGTGCTTGAAGCAGCTCCTCCAGCCTCTGGGTAAGCTGGGTGTGGAACTGCTGGTGGCTGATTTCTCCCACACTCTGCTGCATCTCCACAGTATGAGAAGGCTGCCGATCTGGTGCTTGATAAAAGAGAGATATCTTGGATATTTGAAGTGAACCCTCTAAGTCAGTGTTTCCCTATCTAGTTCTTGGGGTCCCACAGGCAGTCCATGTTTTGCTGGGAGCTGGAAGCAAAAATGTAGACTATCTAGCAGGGAGTTTGGATGCAACAAAAACATGGACCGACTAGGGGACTCGGAAGACCGGATTGGGAATCACTACTCTAAATAGTGTTGTGGAGCCTGAGGAAGGGCCGGGGCAGTACCAGTTAGGTGTGTTTGAGTTATGGGGACAGGACTTTCACACTGCTTAGGCAATCCACGCGAGTGATCCCTCTGACCAGGAAGCAGCACCTCAGTCACAGAAAATTTGCGCCAGCTGGTTTCCTTGTTTGTTTGGATGTGCAGCCTGGGAGATAAACACGGCACAGGCCAGCTAGTGTGACAACACCCATAGAGAACGGTTCTAAATACATCCAAAAGAAACTAGCAGCAAACACCACCTCACGGAAGAAAATCCATTTAGAAACAATAAAAGCTAGACTTACAGGGACTGCTCTGGTTTTTTGGAACACTGAGAATCTCTCACTATGTTTTTGTTTGTTTCTCCTGCAGAAAAGTAAAGACCATAATGTCCACTCCAGCTGAGTATTGACTATAGACTGCATTCTAACACAAAGATAACTTAAATCAAAGGCCAAAAGTAAACCAATAAGATCATTTCTTGATTTAGATTATAGAAAGTTGTACCTTGGGCTGCCAGGTTGGCCTGCACCATCTCTACCACTTTATCAACAGGGATGTTCTACGAACAATCCAGGGAGGTGGGGGGGAATGATGCCAGACAGACACATAAGAGGAAAAAAACAAAAATTCACAAGTCAGACAGAAACACAAACAGGCTGACAAGAACATGCACAGATACACACAGAGCTAAATACACCAATCCAAAGAGATATGCAACCATATATAAATAGAACCAAATGTACGGAAAGACTAGTAGACAGAATTATAACCACACAAGGCTCCTTACATACCCTGTGGAAGTTCTGGGCTACAGCCACAGGCCTGGAGTCCAGCCTGATGCCCTTGTTCTGTAATGCGGGATGTGCTACACTGTCCTGAAAGAGGAAATACTCAGTCTTACTCTACCGGCTTATCGGGTGCAGAGATACTAATCTTACACAGAGAGCAGAGTTGTCACTGCTTTCTGTAGTGCATGCGTGTTGGAAAGACCGTGATCTTGCCTGTTCACTTTTGCTCTGGCACTGTGTGGCTGCAGCAGCTGCACTGTGACAGGTTTTGCTCATCTTCAGATTTCTGATGGTATCATTCCTCCTTTCTGAGGAGCTGACAATCTGAAGTGCTGCTTTAACCTTACCCCTCGAGAGTGGGGTTGCTGAATGAACAACAAAAATCAAACTACTTGTCAAAAGATAAATTATAGACAGTATTATTGGGATTAACAGCGTGAGACAATTTGACCATTTCATATTATTGCCAAAGAGATGAGGCAAGCCAGTAGCACATTAAGATACAAGTAGATTCCAAGTGGTATAAGAGAAAGGCTGGAATGGGACACTCACCCGTCATCAGCACGCTAGTTAAGGGGCTCATGCCCACCTTGTGACTGCAACTACTGGTGATAAAGGTGCTGGACTTGGACACTTTCCTTTTGGCTGGCGTGACAGTCTGCATACAAGAGACATCACACTCCCTGGTCACCTATCAGGGGTACAATTGTCCTGAAAGCTCTCTGTAACAGTGTACCATGCGGGAGGGAACCTGTAAGAGAGGCGTTGATGTCTGAATCAGACAGGGCTTGCCTGCCCACTCCTCTTGGGACCCTGGCTGTGCATCATTCTGTGTAGAGTAGCTCTCCAACACTTGGGGCTGCTCCCTGTTCATGCTGGCTGCCGATGATAGCTGAGTCTCGGGAATGACCGCCTATTTACATTTTACACAGCTTGTTACAAAACCACATTTAAGAGAACCTTCTTTAGCTCTTATCTCACTTTGTGCCTCACATTATGTAGGACAGAGACCTCTGAGAAAACAACTGAATGCCACTTTAAAAGTGAAGAAAAAAGTAAAGGGACAACCTGAGAATTTCGGTCATCAAGACTGATCTGCACAGTGGTCTTAACTACAGAGCTGCTGGTCTTTCCGACAAATTTCTGATGAAACACAAGAATGACAGCACCTCTAAGCTTTTACACACAACCCAACACTGACGACATGGTGCCAGACACTAAGGGACTTTTAAATAATTATACAACAACCTTTAACAGTAAAACTAAGTGACAGTACTACTTCTGACATAATCATATACACGCTGGGATGCAGGGAATGCTTACTACCATCATCGTGACTGCCTATACTGTATATCTACATTCATAAAAGGGAAAAAGAATGTACCGCATGCTTTGCAGAGCCATACACACTGTCCGTGGCATGCAGGATGTCGAGGGAAGCGCTGAAGTGGATGATGAGCTCAGAGCCCTCTATGCCACTCAGACCCAGTGGCTCCATCAGTAACAGCCTCAGTACCTTCCTATTGACCTCCTCTAAAAACATCACAGGCACAACCAAGAAGGCAGAAGAGAACAAAGGGGTGCTTCTTGTATGAAATCTATAAGAGCTGGCCAGCACGCATATCAATTCAGATTCTGTACCAATTTAAAATTTTAAATTAATAACAGCCACCCTTTCCATTTTGAAGTTAAAGGCATACACATTTGTGGGTACAATCCACTGATTTGAAGGCAGAAGTGTAACTGATTTTATTGAGTACAGTGGGATGCATCTACCTTTAACTGTGTAGTGGTGGACCTCATTGTCAGAGATGCACACTGTATCCCACTGACCATCCTGAAAAAAAACAAATGCCAGTGTTAAGGGGAAAACTGGTGCTGAGCCACATATGTTTCTTATAGACGTACTACTTACTAAATCATCGGTGAGATTAACCTTTACATTTCTGAGCATTGGGCAACAGTGCTAGATGTTAGTACTAAATTCTCTATTTTGTGTAGGGCTTGGAAAAAAGGTTATTTTGATAATTGATTAATCATTTAAGTATATCGTGGATGTGATCAAGTAATCGATTATTTGGGCCAAAATACAGGGTTTAAAGAACACATCAATAAGTAGTTTTAAGTCACAGTTGTAATTACTTTACATAATGTACAGAATCTCTATTTAAAGTGAAAAATGTCACAGAAACAAAGAAAAAAGCTTGATCAAGCTTTAATGTAACATTTCTTAAGGGAAACACACAAAATAACCACCCTCTACAGACAAGCCCTCTGTCTCCACCATATTTAGCTTGCTAATGATTGTACTTAACACACTAATGTTAATTTCAGTACAGCAGGAAATTTTTTATCTTGTAATTAGTCATTATTAAAGCTGCAAACACAATTAGGAACAGTTGTAAACCAAAGGCAATCTGTCTGCTGATGCGTGTGAATTACAAAACCTAAGAGATGCTTATTTGCGCATTGTGTAAAAATAAATAGACCCTACGTAAAATAAAAATTCAAAAGTAGCACGGCATCATTACAATCATTCCTTCATCAATTGTCTGTAACCGCTTATCCTATTCTGGGTCATGGGCAAAACAATCATAATGAACTGAATCCTCTCTAAATCCCATGTTCTTTACTTCTGAGTATGGTCATATCTGTAGCAATACACACCCCTATAGCCATAGTTATTTTTTTAAGCCTGGCGTGAATTTCCTGCCAAAAACACCTTAATTGCCATGGGGAGACTAACTTGCAGAGGCTGTTTCTGCCTTGCTCTGGTCGTACACACACTCTGGAAGGTGTCGTGACAAATGAGTTAGAATGTTGGATGTGTTTACAGCAAAAAACCTGAGTTCGGTATAACAAAGCTGACAGTCTTGGCATTATCAAATAGTCTCTCCAGTGTTGGTGCAATTTATTGGGAAACCCAAACATCCGATTATGACGGACTGTAATCAGCATCAGCAGTAACCAACTCACAACCACAATTACCATAATGTCTTCCACGCCGAACATCTACTTGTGAAGTTAGGTTTTGCCTGTGTCAAGCAATGTATTCATTAATTTTATTGTGTGTTTTAAGCCGAAAATGTAACCGATTTACGCACCAAACCACAAAAATGCAACAATTCCATGATAAAATTCATTGTCAACTATTTGTATTACCAGTTTTCGACATTATCAATTAGCTGTTGCTCAGTAACTTTATGTATTTTGCACGCATTATCTAAAAGATAGTGATAAACCATGTTTATACATTGCATCTTTACATATTATTTGCACAGCCTAATTCAAATTATTTTTTGATATTCTCAGCAGAATTTGATTTTCAATATAAAAGCAAACTAATATCCATATCTGTGTCGCAGCCCAAGTTTTATGAATAAAGAGAAGGAGAGAAAAAAGCAAAATGGCCCATACTTGTGCCCCCTCATCTGCTATAGAGAAGTAGAAGGATATGCTCTGACTTTCCAGGTTGAAGTCGACCCAGAACTCCTCCAGGTTCTCATCTGATGGCATCAGCAGCTATTAACATAGAACAGAGTTGAATTTCCCCTTGGGGGAACCGAAAAAATAGTCCTCACAATGTCAAAATAACTGGGGATGTGTCCCCACAATGTAATGTACATCTGCCCCACACACACACACACACACACACCAATTATTACAATATTTTAATGACCTGACCTCATGTTTGCCCAGAAACACCTCCAGGCATGGGTATGAGTACACTCTATAGAAGAAGAAAAAAAACCATTACACTCTGGTACTTGAAAAACTTTGAGATAGAACACAAAAGCAAAAGTACTCAATGACTTTATTACCTTCTCTTGTCCCCTTTCATACCATTCAACAGATTGAGAAACTTGCGGGTATCCTACAAAATAAAAGGGCAGTCTCCATACGAACAGCAACGCTGTGTCATGCAAGACAACAGCTTTTATCCACATTACAGTATTTAATTCACAAAAGCTCTCTTTGCTGAATAGGCCTGCTTACAGTCTCAAATTCAGAGTCTTTGATTTTAAGGAAAGCAGTGATGACGAAGTCCATCTTGAACCAGGAGAAGGCGAGCTCCTCTCTCTGTCTGGGGGTGGTCATTCGGCAGAGGGCCTCCATAAGGGAAACCTGCAGATCATAATCTGAACAGATGTTAGTGGGCACATGGCACAAGGGTGAAGCCCATAACTATGGTAAACGCTGACTTTAGGGACACATTGTAAATCCAGTGAAGGTACCTCCACTTTCAGGGATTCTACTTGCCAGCTTCTTCCTGTGCCGGCAACCAAAGAAAATTAATTGGGAACAACTGAGGATTCCTAATGTTGTTCAATATACGGGGCTGGACAGTGAAACTGAAACACCTGGTTATAGATGATAATTTATTAGTATGGAGCAGGCCCTCTTTTTGCAGCCACTACAACATCAGTTTGTCTTGGGAGTGACAGATACAAGCCCTGCACAGTGGCCATTCCTCTGGCAGAACAGTGGCTAGGTCAGTATGTGAAACTTGTGGAGAAAAATGTTTCCTGATTCGCTCCTCCAAAACACCCTGAAGTGGCTCTATGATATTTAGATCTGCTGACTGTGCAGGCCATGGGAGATGTTCAGCTTCATTTTCATGTTCATCAAACCACCATCACCAGTCTTTCTGTATGTATTGCTATGTATCACCATTTGGTGAACATAGTCCTCCAGAATGGTTCAGTAGCCCTTGGTAGCAGGGAATGTCATGATATTGCAGCCCAAATCATTACTGATCCACCCCTGTGCTGGGTACTCTGGGTAAGTGACAGTTTTGGTCAGCGGTGGGCAATCCTATCCCCTAAGGGATAACCTTTAGGTCAGCTGTTCAAACCTCGGTGTGAGGACTCTTCAGTCAATCAGTCCTCTATTTAGTAAACTAATTAGGGAGTTGCAGCAAAATCATGCATAGACAGCGGCCCTTTGCAGAAAAGACTGCCCACCCCTGGTCTACGTAATAAGCCTCTTTGGAGCTTCTCCTCATCATAACTCTACCATATATGGGAAAGACAGTGAAGATTGACTTATCAGAGAACATTGCATGTTTCACATTGTCCATGGCACCACTGAAAATGACGTTTGGCGTGTGACCAAAGGTTTGGCTATAGCAGCCTGACCATGAATACTGACCCTGTAGAGCTCCCAGGAAACAGTATTGGTGGAAACAGGAGAGTTGAAGTGTGCATTTAATTCTGCTGAGTTGGGCAGCTGTGGTTTTATGTTTTTGGATACAATCTGGATTACTACCTGGACATCCATCTGGATGTGGTCTGTCCTTCGCAGGTGTATACCGACATTACCCTGGATACTGCGGCTCTCGATTCACCACAATGACTTGCTGTCATGATCACAAATGTGTCAGCTAGACACACACCAACAATCTGTCCTCTTTTGAACTCTGATCTGACTACCATTATCTTGTGTGTATTCCAATTTTTTATGTACAGTTGTGCTATTGCTCTGCTAATTCAATCTTCACACTATGCTCTTACTGATGGAATGTGCAATCAGTGATGATTGGCTACTTCAGTTCCATTGTCTAACCCCTGTAAGTACCAGTATTCAATACATTTTTAACCTTGACAACAAATAACTATTGTGAACAGCAAAAAAAACAGTATTACATTGAACACAAACTAAAAATAAAGGATAGAATTTCCTGTAAAAATAGTTTTTTTTAAAATAGGTACACAATATTCTCTCACTTACATGAGAGCCAAAGCTTCCTCTGAAAACAGAATTTTTCTTTCTTTTTTCAGTTCTGGTGGGACTGAATCTAGAATAACATTCAGCTTTCGAATCGCCTGTGCCAAAGGTAGCAAAAGAATGAGCAGGGAGACACTGATCTCTGAATGATTCTGTACAGTACTTGTGATCCGCACACAAAGATTTAAGGTGAATTTTCTGACCTCTTTTTGGATCAGGATTTGAACTCGTGGTTCTGTAGCTAAGTGGCCAATATGATGCAGAAAGGTTTCTGTCACTTGACATTTTCCTAAAGTGAAAAAAAATGTTTTAAATAAAAGTTTGGCAAAAAGAGTCGTCCTCCTAAAAACTATTTGCACAAATATTAAATCAAAATATATACATACCCTCTTTACTACTATTATAAAAGGCCTACAAGAAAAACAAAACAAAAAAAAACAGGTTAATAACAGATGCATTTTACGGTCAAACGTGTCAGACAGGACAAAGTAACAAAAATAAGAAAACAACTATGCAACTTACATTCTGAAATATTAAACTAATTTACCAAATACGAAAAGATTATCAAAGAACGACCAAACACTTGCACAAAATAAAACACTGTAAAATGTGGAGGTAAATAGAGAAAAGTCTTTATTTCACTATAGCCACTACTCACCAGCAGAGCATCTAGAAAGTCCTCTGCAAGGCCAAGCAACGCCTCATTCCTGAGTTTCCCATTCTCAATCCATAACTTTCGTGCCTTCTCAAACCATGACACCATGTAGACACATAACACAGCAGCTGTCTGTTAGCTATTATACCATTGGACGTAAATGCTTGTGTTAGCAAAGGTAAGAATACCTATCTTTTGAACAAGCCCCTGGTTAACCATAACCTTTCCTGTCAATTCTTGAGCAGCTGGTGCAATCAAAATTTTCTCAAACTTGTGTAGACAACTAAGTCCAAGACAGGCATGCTTTATGTTGCCCTTATTCATTTCCTGTAAAGACAGGGATATAAAAAAAATAATTTGTAAAATATTACCATAAATATTACTATAAAATTTGCTCAGTAACAATGGATTTCTACATATTGGGAGGAGAAAATAAATACCTACCCGGTTTATTAATTTATCGAGTTTGTTGATGAAATTTTTAGAACATTTTGGGGTGACCTCCTCATTATTATCATGTAGCACAAAGTTTTCCAGAGTCTGAAAATCACTGTGTTTCAAAGCCCTGTCAATCAGCTTCTCCAACTGGGAACAGAGAATGCAAGGGTGCTGCTAGAGATTTCGGGCCCCATGACCGCATATCATATTGGGCCCCCAACCCAGACCAGTCCAATTATGCTCCAATTTTTTTAAGGTCACAGTCACTCACAGGTTCTTGGAATCATCCTAACTCCCCCCGCCCCCCCCCAGCACCCCTGAGAGGATAAAATCCTAATTATTATCATAATACAGCAAGGCTCTATTTTATTTAAACATCTGAATACAACAGACACAAAAATGCAAATCCATCCAGTTATAGACTAGAGACCAGTATTACCAATATCATCCTGCAATGACACATCAACAAAAATTATACATTTGCTAAAAAGATCAATGTATATTGCAACAGAAATTCTTGCTGCATATAACAAGTGTATGATACTAGACTCAGAATATACCTTGCAATAAGTTTCCCGTAAAGCCAAATACCAGACAATTGCAGAGAATTTAATCTGGTTAACACTTTACTTGAGGGGATACAAATATTTAGTAGCAACTCAGTTACTACTGAAGTACAAATCAGATGAAAGACGTGTTATGATTTGTTAATGATGAACAAACATGACATAAGTATTTCACTTGTGTTATTCATTACTAGTTCCTTCAATAGTTCCTTAGTAGTCCACTAAGATATACAGGATTAACAGATAACAAATATACTAACTGATTGGGACAAATGGTGTGTCACAATTCATTAACAATAAACAAACATGAGATCAGTATTTTACATTTATTTTTATTCATTATTAGTTATTCACTATTTGTTGCTATAGTAGTCCCTTCAATAGTTAATAAAGATTTACAGAATTAACAAATATAGTTACAAATGTAGTATTTGTTTGCCATAAATGATGTGACAAATCATTGATGAACAAGCATGAGATCAGTCTGTAACTAACACAAATTCTGATTAATTAATACATAAGTAATAGCACGACACTACATTATTTGTGTCCCCTCAAGTAAAGTGTTACCCTCAATTTTTGTTAGTTCCGCAAAACAGAAGTTTGGGCAATAAAATGACAGGCAATATCTGTGACTGTCCTCAGTACTCACTCGCAAGTCCAAGCGAGGCGCCATCCTCCTGAAAATACGGGCGACAAATTATCACACAATTTATAACTTCAACATTACAAGCAATCATCGCATATTATTCTCAGTATATGTTCATTGATGTCTAGTATTGTCTTAAATATAACACACTTTATTTTTAACTAGACACCTAGCTAGCTATATCTGAAGAAAACTGGTTGATTTTTAAATAGAGTTTTTGATCTAGGAAAACGTATGTTTTTAAGTAGCATATATAGTCATTTCAATGAATCTAGATTATAAATGAAGTATTCGGAACGAAATACAATCCCCCCCCTCCCCCCCCACGGGTGTCCGACGATCCTTATTTCTTCAGATTTAAAGCAGAAACCCTAATCCAGACAGACGTAGCAGGCCCTTTACTAACCGCTGCTACTTGGTCATTCGGCTGTCATCAATATTAAATGTGTTTACAATCGTAAGATTATGATTTACAGATTAAGTCAGTGTTAAACTAAAATAAACCATAAATGTGAAAGAAATCGGCATGTAGTTTTAAATACATGAAGAAAATAAAATAATAACCAGCAGAAGATCCACACCGAACGTTCTTCCACCTTTCTTCGCGCGCCAATTCGCGCGCCAAATGCAACGCACATGCGCATTTAAGAATAGGTGGTTTTCTAAATAAATGAGTTTTGGGTACAAAATAGTTTATCTGCGTCCCTATGTGAGTACTACGTGGGGCACGTCTAACTTGTTTTTAGTTAGTCACTTTTAGTGAGAACTTTAATAATTAAGCGGTGAATTGGCAATGCAGCCGAAAGTGTGTGTATCGATCGATTAAGATCTGTGTGGGGCTTGATTGTATAGGAAGTGTCTGAAAATTTATGGGAATGTTACTTTACTGTTTTACTCTTTAATGTAGTTTTATAGAACAACGATATATAAAGATACTCAATTATACTGCGACTCCTATATTTGGTAAAAACTGAACTGCGCGTGGCTATATGACACGGCGGATTCAATTCGTTATAGGACCCCAGAATGCCTTGAAATGTTAACTTAATATAAGACAACCCTAAATTGCGACTATTCTTGTAAAAAGAAATGAGCCAAAATACTTTCAAACTGACATGTGAAATTAAGCAACAGGCAATGGAAATATTTCAGTTGAAGCCACTTTTTTTCACCAAATGAACAGTTAATGTTGGACGAATGTGGTTATCATAGTAGCAAATTTTGTCATGTAGCACTGCGCTTTTATTGTGGGGATTGCCGCTCTGCGAATTTAATCGTGGTTTCCATTTTGGAATAGTGATTAGTGAAACACCCCGGACATGCACAGTTTAGAGAAACCAGTTCACCTAACCATGTATGCTTTTGAATTGCAGGACGAAACCAGAATATCCAGAGGAAACACACGTCCACAGAAACACAAGGGACAGGATTCAAACTTATAAGGTACGAGGCAATCGTGCTACCAACTATAGCACTATGCAACCCATTTTTTATATAAAAATCATACTTTAGGCTTAATACTCATTTGGAAAAAAAACAGATTCTGAATGTTTCACATATTGTACTGTAACTGTATATTGTTGCTTGTTTATAACATAATTTAAATTCGATCTGACAGGGCAGCCAGAAGCATCCCGGAGAGTCTTCGCACGAGCGCTATTTTTTGCCGCGAGCTCAGCTATTCGCCGGCTTTGACGCGCGCGCGTCATATCTGCGCAGCGCGACGGAAAACAACAGCACCTGCGAAGCCTTCGCAAACAAGAACGCGGCGACAGCAAGTAAACAAATCTTAGAATCCCGCATAGACACCATTATAAAAATGCTTCCTGAAATTACTGCTGCGACCATTTACAAATTCTGTACATAAGGAGAAGAAACGAAAGAAGCGTTATATAATACAAATTTCGCTAGTCGCTCATTTGAAGATTCTACATGAATACTTTAAGGGGGAAATCATGATAAACCAGATACTGTATAGCTATACGAATAAATATCTCTCTGGAATCGAATAAAGGAAGGTTGTAATCCATTATTACAATTCAATATGAATGCAGTTTGATCTCGCCTGTAAATTATTCATTTATCCTTTAATAATATACAGAATTTAGAAATGCGTTTGTATGTCGTCGCAACGTCATTAGTTCGCAGTTAATGGTTCACTGTTGTCAAAATGTGTTTTATGTCTCGCAATATTCGGGGGATATGGATAAAATGGAATTATAGCGAGTTTCTCAGCGAAGGTACTCGCACGTAGGGTTACCGCACTGCCGAAGAGTACAAGGGTTTTGGTTCGGAGCGCCATGGGACCCATCCTTCTGGAGCGAGCTGCAGCTCCTGTTCTTAAGGTGTCCAACAAGGAGAAAAGATCAGACAGAAGTTCAGAGAATGTCGGCTCGCTAATAAGGTAAAATGACTCTGCATTCTCATTAAAAGCCATCGATTATGTAATTGCGTTATTAAATATTTAAGTAAAAATGTACCTTTTTTATTCGATATATTGTCAAAATTGAATAATCAGTAGTGATGCATATGCGATGCTGACATTGGCAAGTAAAATAAATATTTAATTAACACTTTAAATTAAAAACTACGTCCTAATCCTTGACTGTTCAGCATGCATTCTCTTGTTTAAACAGCTCTAATAAAGGAAGTGTGAGTCAGAACCATAGACCCCAGAAAAAGGCAGCGGTTCAGTCAAAAAACACCTTTCGCAGAAAAGACTCCACACTTGGGAATGAGAAGGTGAAGTGTGTGTGTGTGATGTTATAATGCTGGTGCATGTTATACCGTGTAGTCATACAGTGACTGTACAAAGTTATGCATTCATCTTTCAACCATTCATTCTAGATAGGGTCGCAGGGGAGCCTCTGGGCTAACTGAGGCAGCATAAGGCACGAGTCGGGGAACAGGGGCACCATTAAGGGGGGGGATGAGTTAGGATGATTCCAGCTGCCCCTGACTGACTGGGGCCCTAAACATTTAGAACATAATTGGATTGGTCTGTGTTGGGGGCCCAATATGATATGCTTTCATGGGTCCCAAAGTCTTTAACGGCGCCTGTGCGTCACCGGTACATCAGTTCATCGTAGGTAACATAAACACAACAGAGGTGTTTATTACCACTTGAACCATGCATTTGTGTGGGGCCCCCTGTTGGCCACAAATAGTCACTACACTACAGGGGGTACTGAGGCCCTCGAACTTACTTTTTGATTGCTGCCTCAGGAACAACAAACCCACCCCTGCAGACATGCACACACTAACAGCAATTCAGAGATGCCACCTAGTTTGCTTGTCTTTGGACTGTGGGAGGAAACCTGCAGGATGCAGAGACAACATGTCAATACCCTGCTGTACACAGATACTCAGTACTATAACTATTTAGCTTGTGAATCTTATTAAATAAATGTAGTAACTAAAGCCAAGGATGGTATTGCTCATTTTTACACTTCATTACTACACCACAGAAAAACTAAAAATTATTAAGTACATTAATGCAATTAATTAAAATGACAGTAGATTTTATAGCATCTATTTTATAGTAGAATTTCATAGGATTACTAGCATTAAATCAGCAGTAAAAGCATTGCTTACATTTTTCAGCAACACTTCTGTGAAGATGCCCCTCCTTTCATATAGTAAACCTCAAGAATGCAGATATGTTTGAGCGTTGAACTTCTTTTGCTCCCACCTTGCAGGGCACCCAATTTAGAGGAAAAAGTAAACCAGAAACTCCCTGCAATTATAACAATGATGCTCTGATAAGGTGAGCCCATTGGGGGATTTGCTTCTCCACTAGTTTACGATTTTTCATGCCTTTTTTGTGTTCTGGAAATGTTGTAGATTTGTTTGTGACATTCCCGTTGTTTTTCACAGAAATGTGAGAGAACTGGGCCCCAAGTCTCCAACTTCTCAGGCTGAGAGCAATGGGGAGAGTCTGGTGCAGCCGGTGTCACGGTGCAGCGGAGAAGATAACCGGGACTTTGCAGGTCGTGTGCGCAGTCGGCCCACGCTTACCCTGCCGCTAGCCCTTCCCCCTGAGCCTGGCAAGGGACCGGGGCAGCAAAGCCAGCCTTTCAGTCTGGAGTCGACGAGGCTGTTTGAGCAGAAGGAGGATGACACAGACAGTGCCAGTGACCTGTCGGACTCTGAGCGGCTCCCTGTACTCCCCTCACCCTGTACCCCCCCGCAGCTGAATCTAAGGGCTGAGGTCTTTGACCCCAGTGATCTCCGGCAATGCATTCCGGAGTCTCGGGGGAGCGGCCATGGTAGCCATGGATATCCAGATTTCTTGCCCCCTCCCTTCTGCACCTGGAGTCTGCGCCAACTGGCCATGTTCCTCAATACAGACGGCAGGGGGGCCCCTCGGCCCAGACCTGTGGGTAAACTAGAGCGATACCTGGAGCGGCTTTTGCAGCTGGAATGGCTCCAGGTTCAGACCGTTGAGGCAGAGAGCAGGCAAGCTGTCTCCGGGCTTCCTGTCCGGCCTCGCCGCCAATCTGTAGCTCCTCGCTACAGCTCAGCCCCCATCGCCCGCCTCAGCTCACCCAAACCCTTCCGCCAATGTCAGTGTGCCTTTCCCCTGCCGCCTGCCTTTTGTCCGGCCAGCCACCCACCCCTCCAGCATTCCCATGCGGGCTGCTCCACCTGCCACCTCCACTTCCCGCTCTGCAACAGCATCTGCTCCTCATATGCATACCACAGGCACTCCCGCCTCAGTCCGGTCCTGGAGCGTCGAGCCAAGCCAGGAGTCCCACCGAAGAGGAGCAGCAGCGAAAGCCGCGTCCCTGCTGGCCAGGTGTGGAGGCTCGGGAGCTCCCCAACAGGAAGTGGTCACCTGCAGCGCGTGCAGGCAGCCGGTAACATCCGCAGTCCTTCCCAGCCGCAGGTAGGGCCCCGGAATGGCAGCCCCGCAGCAGGAACCAGCAAGCCGAAAAATTCAGTAGTTGCCAAAAAGGGCGCGGCGGGTAAGAATGCACAGCAGGTGAACCTTCTAAGGGAGAGTGATACGGTGCGACCAAAGGCCGGGCCGGGAGATGGTGACGGGCAGCTGGGTGCTGTCGCTGGAGCTCGGCCTCACTCATCTGTGTCCAGGGGCACGCCACCTGCCAGGCCCAATGGAAAGGTGAAACATGCTAATCCTATTACCAATTAGCATCACATTTTCCCTGTTCAATGTGCATTATGTAGAAAAGACAGCAAATACATAGAGCAGTGTACAGTACATCTTATTTATAACTGCGTCTTGTGTGACAGGCATATATAAGCTACTGACTGAAAGGGAAGTTAGAAACCTGATGCCTGTAGGCCTGTCACAAAGCTGGCTTTTTGGGTTAGCAAGATAACTTGTCGGGCTTAACGTAGTCTGGGTTAAACATAAGTGAACGAAGATACAGTCAGTTTAAAGTGGGGTTATCTAGCTAACCAATAAATCGTGCTTCATAATACAGGCCCCTGTATTGCTGCAGCTCTCGGTTACTGGAACTGGCCGCTACTGCCTTAGCTTTACTGTGAAGTGCTAGCAGCTCAAATGACAGCCTGTGGTGCTTTTATGCAGAATTCAGTCTCATTTTTAAATTTCTTTATTTGTGGGCTAATAGTATGTGCTTATAGCTACTGCATAATCCTCAGTCATTGAATGCTGACAGATGAATTTCTGTAAAATCAGAATCGCTAAATAATATGAAGATGACACAAAAATAAATATCTTACATGTAGCATTGTTATTCACAGTATTACCACACTGATAACCTATTTTGAAATATTCATTGTAACAGGAAATATTTTAACCATATTTTTGATATGGAATTAAATCAGCAGGCAAGTGGATGTATAGGATATATAAAAGGACTACCTTAAGTTATACAAAAAAACATTTTTTAATCTGTATAAAGAAAGGTCTATTTAAGGAATAAATGAAACAATTCTTTGTCAAAGCAATGTTAATTTGAAACCTTATTGATTTCTAGAAAGTAAGACTTGCTTTCTGTTATACATTTTATAACTTATTGCTTCTGCTATTTATTTATGTTGCTATTGTTTATTTAATTCATTTTACTTGCCCAGAGCAAGCCAAATGACACTGGGGAGAAGGTGTAAATATATGTGGTTTGCTGGAAAATATATATTTATCTGTGTTTATGCATTCACATTATTACACCTGCTTGTTCTGTGCTGTGCTGGGGTTAGCTGAGGACTGCATTTTCATATTATCTTACTATCTATTTTTCACTATGGAATATGCTTTTCACTTTATTTAAAAGGATTTATTGTATCTACTTTTTTGATAAAATTAAGCAATGTGTTTAATTCAACCCTCCAGTCTTGAACGTCCTCCTGTAGTACTACATGACGAAGTTTATCTTCTAGTTTCCATCAATCTTCTAATCATTTACGCTGGTCAGGGTCATGGGGGCCTGGAGACTCTCCCATACAGCATAGGGAAGGAGGTGGGGCTGCACCCTTGACAAGGTGCCAGTCCATCACAGGGCACATGCACGCACTCATACTCTATGGGCACACAGATTCCGACCTGGATGTCTTTGGACTAGAAGGACGTTGAGACAGAGAGAACATGCACACCCCACACACACAGGCAGGATTCAAACATCAGCCCTGGAAGTGAGTGGACACAGTATTACCCACTAGGCCACTATTCCAATACAACAAGTATTTTGTAAATATAAAATAGAATATTAAGGTTTGGTAATATTTGTTTGCAAAATATGGATTTTCCATTTTTGTCTCCTGTGCTTACTCTACAGTTTTCAGTATTCAGTATTCCATAGTTCAATGGAAACATTACCGTCAATGTTATTGTGTCATTTGATGTCACCGGTCTTGCTAAGAAAACATGGAACAGCTCAAGTCTTAATTGGTATTAATTGTACCCAGGACACCCTGCTTTTATTATTCAATAAATTTTCCTTAGTATTTTGACGTAATACAGGTGAATTTTTCTTTGCTGTCACAAAATGTAATTGTTTGTTAAACATGATGTAAACGTTGTTAGTAAAGACCCCAGGTACCGTGCCATTTGTCCTGCTAAGTTTGTCAATTCAGCTGTTAAATCCTGTGTTTTAAGGTTCTCAATAAACTGACAGTCATTATTTATATTTAAGGCTTAGGTATCTTCATTTCTTGATATATGAACATGTGGATATGTAGTAGGGCTGCACGATACTGGAAAAATTTCAAATATTGCAATATGATTTTTCTGCAATACTGCAATATTTATAAAGCAAAAAAAGGAATGTTTACCCATATAGAACTCGAACTTTTTAGGATTCGATCCGGAGTCTGGAACGGATTAAGTTTGAGAACCGAGGTACCACTGTACTAGTATCCATATCTAATACAACATGGAATCACATTTGTATTTGCATAATTTTCAATCGGAGAGAAAAGCACTATGCAAACTGCAACACGATATGGTCTTAGCAAGAAAGTCTACTTGCAGGTAAAAACAGCTATCCAAGTGAACGATAGTGATGTCCGATTCGTGAACAAATCGTTATTTTGAACCGGGTCTTTTCAGTGAATCGCTCGAACCGGTTATGAAATCTAAAAGATTTTCCAGGAACACATTAGCCAAATCAATCTTTTTCTACCAGTAAAGTCTGTCAAATAAGTCGGTGTTGTGCTGACAGCATGCTAACAAATCATTTGCTGTGCCCACAAAATCACTCTTAATCAATACTGTCCACATAGAATCTGTTTTCATATTTCCATACAGTGGAAGGCTGTCTTTTGGTGGCCAGTATTTGTTTGCCTTTTTCTTCACTCGTTTTTGGAATGGTCTATGTTTGGGAACCAAAGCCATGTCCTTCTATCCATCCAACAAGTAACTTTTTGGAGAACAAGAGAAATTCTTATTTTCTTACTGTTCATTTATATATATTCTAGTGTTAAATTGTTTTTCTGAGCAAATATATGCTTACTATCCAGATAAATGGTCAAACATTTTCTTTGACTTCCTAAGACTTTTGCAAAGTTCTGTATATCAGTATATTTGAGTGTACTTTGTACAGTATTTTGGGTCTGTGAAATCACAGAAAAACACAATAAGCAGGTTTATTAAGGGTGATTATACGGAGGTAGTCACTTATATTCACTGCCATTATGTTATGTTTTCCTTTTATATCTCTTTTATAATTTATATTTACATACACCTTTTATACTTTAGTCTCTTTTATATTCTCTAATTTCCTGATATGTATAAATGTCAGGAGGGAGTTCAGTTTAATACGTTAAGTAACAATCTGTCATGCGCTCTTCTGGCCAGGCAGGACTTTGAGGTGTCGTAGCTGGTTTTCTCTGTCATTGAAACAACCTGGAACCCAGGAAACAGACACGTCAGCCAGAATGATGCAACAGTGAATCTACGTCTCCATTGGATATCAGTCAGCCAGTGTTTACCTAAGTTCGTGTTTGGACTGAAGCATGAGCTCCCCAGGGTTTCCAGGCCGCTGTTCTCTCGGGACACTGGGCCGTCGTTCCACATGAGGTCGAATCCCCCGACCTGCTTCTCCCTGCCAGTGAGTCTGGAAGACGGGGGCTGTTAGAAGCGGCCTGCCCAACGACGGCGGATGTGGCCCTCTTCAGTGCCATACTGTACCTGCCTTCCATGTCAACCACGTGCAGGGTGTCCTCCAGAAGATGGCATTTCATCTCGTAGTCCTGCTGGCTGCTGGGGGTTAGGGAGGGCGAAGCATTTACCTCGATAAGCCACCTGGGAGGAGGAGGAAAGTAACTGGTGCGTCCTCAGGTACGTGCAAAATTCACCATCCATTCAATGAAGAACCTCTCCTCACTTTTCTGGGTTGTAACCTGGTGCTGTCTTACTCTCACTCAAAACCACCCACACACTGATCTGTTGTCTGTGGCATACTGTATTACTGTTTTACTTTTGTTCTGTATTGAGGTTATTTATGTGGACTGGGTTGGTTACGGAAATGAACTGCCCCTCCGGGAGAAATGAAATAAAGTTATCTGAATCTGAGTCTAAAAAATGATGCTGAATGTAATACTTCCACATGAAGATTTGCTGCATGTGACTGTAGTACAATCCCTAAAAAACATCACCAGTGAGTGAGTGCTGAATATATAGCATCGTTGCTACTTATTCTTCAAAGTACATCACCGACAGCATTATCTATGAAAATACAATGTAAATACAGATGCTCCTCTACTTACGAACTTTCAACTTACGAACTAATGGGCAGCTATCAGAGAAGCAAGGCCACGCTGAGGGGACTCACGGCTTAAGGTCTTGGTCCAGGAGGATGTCGTAGCCGTAGAGCTCGAAGCAGTGCTTGTCATTGATGATGACCTTCTGAACGCTCTGCAGGCTATGCACAAATACGTTGTCGATGTCCCTGAACAGGGTCTCCACCGCATGAGCACCATGCTTTGCTGTGAGGTACCGACGCAACTGCTGCATCGGCCACTTACAGCCCTGCAGGAAAAGAAGAGTGAGACTACTAATGTCAGCAGCAACAGTGCAAGTGCCATAGCTCATGGCATAATGTATTTTAAAGCACCAAGTGCTGTCACAACCATTTGTATTTGGCGTACAGAAAAATGTGCTTTATTTAGTTTCTATATACCCTTTCTGGGTCATAATCTGGTGCAGTCTTCTGCACTGCCACGTTGGTGAGATGGATGTCTGTATTTGGACTGGTGTTAAGGACAAATATGCCTGGTAAGTGAATAGCAGAGGTGGATAGTTCAGGTCCAGAAAGTAAAAACCAGACCAAGATTTTGAGTTGAGTATATAGAGTCACAATGACAGAGTACTCAACTGGTTGATGGAAACACAATCTTGGTCTGCTATTTTGCTTTCTGGACTTGAGCTATCCATGTCTGGAGTCTAGTGAGCTGACACCATCCTCCCTACACTGTAGGCAAAAGTGGAAACCTTCAGTAAACACAGAGCAACATTACGAGTATGGGCATTGGTGACAGGAGAACCACTGAAGGGCTGATTTATAAGAAAGGTCATTGCTCAGAAGGACAAAGTGAAGCATGTGGCAAAGCACAGGCTTTTGTTAAAGGATACACTGATCCTCGATACTGCTGAGAGAGAATCGCGTATTGGAGAAGCGGGCAAATCCATCCCGATACAGCCACGCCTTCAAAGGCAGGTACTGAGAGACATCAAAGATAGACACATGACATATGAGAACCGGTGACAAAAAGGTTAAACATTTTTGTAGCACACAAAGTCAAACACAGACCATGGAAGATTCATATAATCAAATCATTATCTACACGTTTAGTTTTCAGAATAACGGCTATACTTACTGAGGATACCAGTACATATACACGCAGATCAAATTTCCTGCCTGCAGAATAATGAAAGACAACATTTCATGACTGAACGAAAAGCGTTTTTATAATGTCCTTCAGAGCTTTTGATACGGCTGAGTGTTGACAGTAGGGCTGGGAGACGTGTGGTATTAATATCGGCATTTGCCTTTCCATTTATCTTCCATTGCATGGAAATATTTTGGATTCCACTGAGACGACATTGAGAAAAGCAAGTGATTTCTTGCCACAACTTGCAGCAACAGTACGAACTTATTTGAAAGACATTTATTTGGCTAAGGGTTATTTTGAAATCGCTCTTTGCTTTATAAATAATGCAATTTAATGCAAAAAAAGTCATATTGTGATATTAAGAGTTGGGTAATTCAGGTCCAAAGAGTAAAAGTCCAGACCGGGATTTTGTTTCAACCAGCCAGTTGAGTACTCTGTGACTGTGACTCTTTATGTTCAGCTGGTTGGTTGGAACAACATCTTGGTCTAGACTTTTACTCTCTGGACCTGAATTACCCAACTCATAACTCTCTTAACTTTTTCCAACATCGTACAGCCCTTGCTGAGAGAAGGGTCCATCACAGTACTGTGTAATGAAAGTATACCGCCGATGAGGTAGGGGTTCTCTATATAGCGCTGGGCGACGTAGCTCTCCACCTGGGCCTCGTCCCGCTGTTCCTCTAAGCGGCTGCCATCCTGTTGGCCACAGAAAGCCCTGTCATGGTCTCTGTGGCTCACTGCTACGGGAGGGGCGACCACATGGTAGACAAGCACCACGTACGCCTATGGAAATTACTCCTTTCCACAGGGTATCTAGACCTTATACAGTGCTATTCTTGAAGTTAAGTCTAATCTATCTACTGTAAAGTGGGATCTCTAGTGACATATGGCTTTGGACAAGGGATACTTCACTTATCAATGTCTGCATTGTCACATATGTTGAATGTAAATTGAAATTTCATAGGCCGGCATCCCAGGCTCAAACATAGCTGCATAATAGTAAGAATGCCAATAACATTTCCTGACTGAGCAGGGCTCTGGGATGAGACTGAATGCACCTCCATTTTCAAAACCATGCTCATAGTGAAACCGTTAAAATACATAATATCAGAGTTTTCACAAGCCAACCAATAGTTAAGGCTCTCAGTGCATCAGAAAGACTACTGCCGACAAGCGGTCACATCTGTGCCCAGTCTGTTACCTTCTTCCAATCCATGATGTCTTTCAGCTTCCGGAACAGAAAGATGCCTTTTCCTTGTGACCGTGCCACCTGAGTGAACACATTAGGAAAGCAAATAACCGGATAGACAGGCAAGCATGCCTAAATATACATACACAAACACCCAACTTTAAAATAAACGTCTAACTTTACCAATAGATAGTGGTGTTGCCTTGAATTGGGATATGCGCTGAAGACTTTGCTAATATACCTCACATAAAAAAGTACACAGTGCCTTTATGACCTGGCATGTCTTACATTGACCATGGGTATGTTTCCCAAAAGCTTTGGTTAACAACTTACATAGTTGGAACCATTCAGTTAGTAACATTTTTAGCATCTATGCTTTAGGTAAATGTACCCAAGAATGGCTGCTTTTCTAAGATCTCTACTAGACTGCCTCGTCTACATCTGCTTCATACTGCATGACGCATGTCCTCACTGGCTTCATGATCCAAGTGCTTTTCGGGTTCCTCTTGAACTCTTCCACAAACAGGTGGTACTCGCTGGGCAGCTCAAAGGTACAAGGGAAAAAGTCACACTTGGCCGCCTCCACGTGGCCGACCTCACGCTCCAGGGTCTTGCGGTATCTCTTGAGGTTCTTCACCATCAGGTTCTTGCGTGTTAGCTAACCAAAGGACAAAGAGAACAATCCAGCCAGGACTACGTTCATTCCACAACATCTGGAAATTATTATTAATACTGTATGAAGATGTAACTTACAGGTCAATGTACACAATGGATTTATTTTAAAAAAGCCATCAATGAGTACTGACAGAAGCATTAAGGCTCTCCACCAGAAGCATATGATCAGCATCTTCAAGCAAGCATCATGCAGCATAATGCAGCAAAGACATACTGCATTAATTTATGATTTAAGATTAAATTGTTCTCATAGCTCAGAATATATAATGCGATGCCCCCTATTGTCCATCTGCTTATCCTGCTCATGGGGGTCTGGAGCTTAGCCCAGAGAGTACAGGGCACAAAGCTGAGGTATATACTGGTCACACGGCATATACACGCACACATTCCCTCTGGGCAAATGAGAGACATATGGTAAAGTACACAGAGGAAATCCACATGAAATCCACAGATGCAAACCCCACACAACAGAGTGAAGTCGGGATTCACACCCCCGAGACGTTGAAGTGCTGCTCACTGAACTGCTGTCCCACCCTGCACAAATAATGACTTCATAGGATGTCAAGATGAATAAAAAAGATTAAACATGCAGTCAAAAACATTCGGGTAGTGAAAATGTGTGAATCTTATGTGTAAAAATATTGAAAACGGTATTGATCTGTCAATAATAATAAAAATATTTGTTTTGTGAATTCTTTTCTATAGTTCAGTTATATACTTTTATTTGCTTGTTTTACTGAAGCTGACTGACACACTTTTAAAAACAACAACAACAACAACAACAACAATAATAATAATAAAGGCTATTTCAAGGCAGCAGGAAGGTGTTGTGTGGTTCAGCAGGTTAGCACACTGTGCCTTTGATTAAAATATCTCTCTGGTTCAAATCCCAGACTGATAAGTGATCAGTTTGCAGACTGATTTCACCCCTGAGTCCCTGAGTAAGGCCCATAACTCCAAAGGACTGTTAGACCCTGCAATCCCAAAAAGCAGCTGCTAAATAAAATTTGAACTAGATTTTCTGTTCATAACCTCAACATTATACTATCCAACTACTGCCCTTCCTAACAGATATTTCAAATTCTAATATTAATTCCCAGTTAATAATTTAGTGAATTTAACCTGTTATGGTTAATATCTGCTTTTGCAATGGGAAGAACACAAAAATTATACAAGTGCATGACTCCCTCCCCAATCAAGTGCGCCATCTGCAGGTCACATTTAGAAATAGATTTTTTTTCACCGACCTCATAATAATTCCGAAAATGGCATATTCGCACGTGCTCCTCCATGTATGAGTGATCAAAGTTCTCCCTCAGCCAGCCCACATCGCACCAGTTGAAATCCCACTCTTCATCCCTGCCATTCACATGCATACAAATAAATACTTAGTATTCTTACTTAAGATGTAAAAGCAGATAGTGTTCTCTAAAAAAAACTCACTCTTTGACCTCGACCCATCCAGGCCTCTGGCGAAGTACATCTTGTATAGTGTTGGTGAAGCCACACCTGTATCTTATAAAACTCCTTGCTTCCCTGCAGATACATCAAACTTATTGTCGACGTAGATCTGAAACCCGTCAGTATTTCCATGAGATTGCATGCATTTTTTTCCTTTCAGCAACACTCTCTCGCGGTACTACAACAGATAATTGAAGGGGGTTCTTTTAAAAATATTTTTTATTTATAAGAACAAACTCTACGATTTTCCGTCACAAACGTTTTTCAGACAAAATTAAATTTTGTAATTTCTCTGTCTGGCGTCTTAATTTGCTTCTCCAGCAGACATCTGCCCTCGAACCGCACTTACGCCTCTTTCCTCTTTTGGTAGCTGTGATGGCCTCTATATCCCGCAGTCTGTTAAAACAGCAAACAGATTTCTTAGTTGCTTGGCGATATGTATCGAGGATGCTAGGTATGAGAATGAATAAGGCACCAGTTTGCTTATGTTTTTTAATGCAGCTAATATAAATTAGAGCGCACTTAACTAAAAACTTTGTATTTTACTTAACATTTGCCTACTAAAAATTGAAATATGAGTCGAAGCTAGTTGTCCGGATTGGATAGAACGTCCCTGCATTTTCCACATAATAAACGATTTGTGTCTCTTACCTTATTTTTAGACATTTCTTAGCTTGTTCATCCAGCCAAGAAGCAACCCGGTTACCCTCTGTCCAAAATCAGCTTTTATAATCAGTGTATAACTTCCAGCTCACTATTTTGTTGCAAATTTGCCGATGGAGTGATGAAGCAGCTGCAGTGTTGTCATTTACCATAGTAACAGGTTTGTCATTAACCGTAGTAACCCGAGCACCTACACTCCTGTGTTCGAGCACAGCCGGCGGTTTGTATTTTTTCGGCAGAAAAATATTCCAAATTAAATTCAAATTAAACGTTTTTGGAGATTTAACAAACATTGCGATTACAGTGCTGGCGAACCAGAATGGACTGGAAATTGCTGCGTGAATAGAGACTGTAAAATACTGATGAACTGAAGCGAATCAAATCGTTTATTCACTTACTAAAGGAGTAGTAAGTCAGAACCACAGGACTTGCACATATTTCTTCGTATATATGATAATAGATGTTATGGTTTATATAGCATTAGACTTCTTCTAAACATCCCGTAAATTGAAGTGGCCTGTGTTCAGATCCCTGCTCACCGCGGAGGACGCGCCGCTTTACGGGACGTTTCTGTGACGCTCCCGGATTAAACCACATGACCTCAAAATGCGTGGTGTATGTCAGACATACACCTGACGTTGTGAGACTAATAAAATAACCTATTTATCACTCTTAATTTTTTATCTTACATTCTTTTATCTTATAATCATCTGAGGAATAAGAAAATACTGGCTAGGAACTAGTGTGCCTTTGGTTATATATTTAATTTTAATATAACGTTATAGAAACTTCTGGTATGAACAAATTTTATTCCACAGAAGGTGCAAAATTCACCTAATCACTTAATTTTTTTTTAATTCTGATACAAGATAATAATTCTATTTATGGAATATATATATATATATAAAGCTTTCTTCTACCTCAGTATCTTTTAATTCCACATAGTTGAGGATAATCATTTATGCCACCCTATTTCCTCGAGATGTTATATCTTATTTTTTATATTATTTATATATATTCTAAGAGCTGAACCGAGCATGGTAAATTTACTGTATTGTGAATAGTTACATGCACCGTATTGTTTCTGATATATTTTCTTTGAAAATATTATTGCACAGCAGAGGTGGGCTCCTCTTAGAGGACGATAAGCAGCATACTCCCAGCATACTCCCAGAGGAATCAGAGCAATAACATAACTGTGGCAGGACTGGGAAGAATTCGGGGAAACAATCTTATCTCTCAATGAGCTTAAACTTTTTGGGGAGGATAGTTTATGATTTTTTCAATCAAAATATAAGCAAAATGTTTTTCCTTTTATAATTTTTGACAAACCTGTTTTCAAAATAGGCTTAATTCAAAGTATTTGGTTAATCCCATTTACCTATGAATCCACTTGGAACCAAAAAAAAGAAGAAATACAGGCTCATCCATCCATGCATCTATTTTTTTAACTGCTTACAGTGGGAAGAAAGTTTGTGAACCCTTTTGAATTGCCTGAATTTATCTATAAATTAGACTTAAAATTTGGTCCGTTATTCATATAAATTACAATTTTAAATACGAGCTTTTTAAACCAACAACACATAAATTGAAACATTCAGAGTGTGCACTGGAGTGTGCAGTGTGCAGTGTGCGTTCAGCCTAGCTAGGCTAGGCTCACGGGGGCTGACACCCCCATCTCCTAGCTTCACAGGCCTGTTTTTAGTTTTGTTTGTTGATTTCGCCTGACGTCACGCTTCTCAGACTGCAGTACCTGTGCTCTGGGCACAGCCGTACGTCGGGATGTGTTTAACGCCTTGGTGGTTTGGAGAGAGTTGTAGACTCATTGCTTTGCGTGTGTAGAAATTTCAACAGAGCCTTAAAGACCAGTCACCATCAACGAGTCGGGGTCAAAAAATAACAAGTTGCAAGTCGAGTTGGAAGTCAATTTAAGAGCGACTCCAGTGCGACTCGGGTCTGAGTCGCAAACTTGAGTCCCCATCTCTGCATTACAGTAACAGCTGAAGGCTTGGAGGTATCACTGGAAATGGTTAACATCTCTCCATGAGTCTATCTTATGCAAAACATTTAACAGGCAGGGTGTCCATGGTGGGGCATTACGGAGAAAGCACTGCGCAGCGAAAAAGCATTGCCTGAAGTTTGCCAGAGATCACCTCCACACTCCACTGATGACAAAATAATGCAGTAAACGAGGACATTTTTCACAATTTTTTGTGCCATTGTACAGTATCTCATGCAGGGTTGTGGGGGAGGGGGGGGAATTATCCTAGGCAGCATAGGGCATAAGGCAGAAGTATACCCTTGATGGGAGCCAGTCCATCGCAGAAGACACACGCACACACACACACACACACTTACAGTCACGCAGTACCAAATTAAATCAAATCATTTTTATGGTCATGTCACTAGGACGAGTGAACTAGTAAGTCTTCGGTCATGAATTTCTTATCAGCAGTGCAGTACATTAAATAATGCAAACTGTACGTAAAACATCTGTACAGCAGTATACACTCTACATAAAGGATCAGAGAGGAAATTCTGCATTTATGACACTTACAGTAATTCAACTTGTTGCTAACATGCTTGTAACTAATCTTTTTTTCTACAGATTGTCAATGTTAAAAGTGTTATTTTTCTAATTCCTTAACATTCTTATAAGCTGTGCATGTGACTTTGTACATGCAATTCACATAAATCAAGCAATCTGCTTCTGTGTGGTGGCTAATGCCCTAACTTATGAAAGTAAGTGTATTGGTTGTCAAGGGAGCTATTTACAGTTTGTACTATAATGTTAAACATCGGTGGCTGCTGCAAAAACAAAATGATTACTGGTGAGAAGTTATTGTGGCCACTGAAGATTTGCCAAATGTGCACAGAAAATATATATCTTGAAAATATATCATTCTCCACAAACTGTGATTAGTGTCATTTTCCAGATGTTTAATCTTCTTGTTTCAGAAATGTGCAAGTGATTTAATAAGATTAGTTTTTGCCGTGGATGGAAGACCACCCTCTCTGAAGTGAGGAGCATTTAGTATGAAGGCACAGGAAAGCTTGAAATGTTATTAATAACTTTAAAGAATTTTCATTTGATCTCACAATAATCCAATGAACACACACACTCTGGTGATAATGCATTTAGGGCCTGAAGGAGTATATTTACAAGTCTATGCATTTACATATTTATTTGTTTTTGTGTCGTTTTAGTAATTGCAGCAGCTGTATTACCCAGTTGTGTTTATCTGTTAATAGCCAGTTTTGCATGTCTGTTTTAGTTTATGTGATTACGTAAGAAACTTGTGATTTCTGGCTTGATGAGTTTCTGTTTTATCTCCTTTTTTGTTCTTTCTTTCCCTGTGTCCTGCATATAAGCCAGGTAGAATGACGCTGCGGACGTCTGTGACCTGGCCACACTTCTTGGTTATTTTGTGATTTTAAATACATTCCCAGTAATGTATGATGTGGCGCCCTGGAGTCACACATCACGACGGTCATACTGTAGGATGCGGTGTCACACGGGTCCTTGCCGGTGTAGCATCCAAAGTGGAGCATCACTGCAGGCCCGCCGAAGCAAAGTGAAGCTGGCTGGCAAGTCAACACCCCCTTAGAAGCTGGCGCCACAGGAAGCCGCCTTTGCCGCCTATAGGATTGGCCGATCCTAGGTCATGTGATTTACTTGCATCTAGCCAAAGACGGTGACAGGATGTTTAAAAGTCTCTAAGCCAGGTGACAGAAAATAAATAAACATATTTTATTAAGTATTTTAAATGACATATTTTATTAAGTATTTTAAATACAATTTGTTACAAATTGTATGTGATTTTTTTCCCTGTTCAGTAAAATACTCAAAAGTAATGAAATACATATTTTAAATCCATATAGACTGCCCATGTCTGTGTATGAGTTTTTGTGTTTGACAAGCTTTCAGTTAAGGGTAAATGAGCTTTGTGGTGAAAAGCAGGACTTCCTGAGTTATTTCAGTCCTAAAGTTACAATTTGTGCATTTCCATCCAACACCTCAGTTATCTGTGGCCCAAATCCATTTGTTTTTCCATTTTTTGCCTATTATGGTAATGGTTGCATTTTGATTGTGGTTAGCTATAAATGAGATTGAGGACGATTTCTGAACTTGTGAAGTTAACGTGAAGAACATTAGAAGACGATTCAGCCCAAGATTCCAGCTCAATGTTCAGCGCAGGGGCCAGAAAACTCATGCTTTTGAGGAGGCACTAGGATTTAATGAAAAGTATTTTTTGGCAACCCTTCCTTCTGGCTGAAGACTGACTTCCATGTTTCTGGAGTTCAAAGTTGAGGTAAATATTGGTATTAAGATTTGAAATGGAATGTGGAGCAGGGAGGGGGATTACTCTCTCTAAGCAGGAGGATAACAGTGCAATAGGGAAATAAATGTTCGGTACCATAACATTGAAATAATAGCTCTGTCCATTTTCATAACTTCTCCATCTCATTTCAGCATATAAGTAAACATCCTGTGTCATTTCAGCATTTAAGTAATCCTTCTGAAATAAATGATCCATGCCTCTTCAGTCTCAGAGTAAATGTTATTTCGTAAATGTTATGTCTTGCTCGAACCACCCAGCATGGACAATGTATTAGACACTGTTCTTCTGAGTGTGAATTTGTGGTAACATTTTACTTGCACAGTTAAACGTTGCATTCATGATCTGAGTTTGGGTTGGTCTAATCACTGTAAACCAGAGACACACCTTCAAAGAATATGGTTGGATCTAATTAAACACTGCTAGCCTGTACACCTGGTGCAGAATTTGCTTTATTCTTTGCTTATACCACATAATCTACCATGTGCAGAGCCAGTGAACCAATAATTATAGGGTGTGATATTACAGCAGTCCCAACTGGCACTGCACCTGCAGAATATGGCACCCTGTAGTATGTATTTAGTGTAACTGTTCATGGCTCTTTATGGTTCATTGTTTACTGGGAAAAAAGCAAATGGAATGGACAGGATGGGAAAGTACATTGGTTACCCTTTACTTGAAGGGGCACAAATGCTTGAAAATAACTCAATTATGAACAAATCATGAACAAATAAAGATGCTACTAAATGATGTCATAATTGATGTGTCATGGTTCATTAATGATGAACAAACATGAGATTAGTATTTCACATGTTATTTATTACTTTTTCTTTCAATAGTTCCTTAGTAGTTCCTTTAGTAGTTCCTTCAGTAGCTCACAAAGGTTTATAGAATTAACAGATACAATAACAAATATAGTAACTGCTTGGGATAAAAGATGGATTACGATTCATCAATGATGAACAAACAAGAGATCAGTATGTAACTAAGACTTAATTTGTGGTTAATTAATACATAAGTAATAGCATAATACTGTATT